TGAGGCCGACGACGTTTAAAAAAAAGAGGATGCGGAAAAGGAGAAGCGGTGCGGATATTGTGTGACCATGGAAAGTTTGTAAACCCTGCCCGGGCATTACGCTTCTCCCACCTTAACCTAAAAGATCCCATCCTGATGAGGCGCAGCTGCTAGATGAGAAGAAATCTGGAGCATCATGCTAGCTTAGTTCTTGGGACGAAGGAGTGATCGACAGGTCCTTTCGACTAGAAGAAACGCCAAAAGTCGTCCGGTTTTTGTCATGGCCAACTGTCACCGCTTGCCAGATCACCGGTGGTCAAAAGACCATGTCCCTCTTCTCCTCATCTATCCATCTCGACTGGAACTGCTACCCTAAGTCATCGGACATCTGCACCTCAACAGGCACGACACCAGCCAAGATTCTTGTCTTTCCTCCACTTTCTCGCTGATGCGGGGAGCGGTAGATTCAGTGGGCATATCCGACTGGCTCTCCTTTCTCTCCTCGTCGCGGGAGGGGCTGAACCTTGTTTAATCCCCGGACCGTGCATGCGGGGATGGCTGCTCGAGATCGACGGCAAATGTCTTATTTTCCCACTTTCCCTCTATCGGTCTGGGTCCAGATGGCTTGGGACCTACCTCGACAGGAGAAACCATCCAGGTGACCTCTTTCTTTGCTTCAAGCGATCCAATGGTCTCATGGAAACTGGAACTGATCATCGCCATCGGCGGCGTACTTGTGGTTTACACGTGAGATGCATGTCTTGTGGTGTGTCTCGGGTGCCGGTGGAATAGCCGGCATGACCGTTCTGCCCCTACGGTGAGCTTCAGTGAAAAGTCGACCGAGATGCATGATACTCGCAAACTCTCGCAAATGAAGTGATGGAACCATGCCCTTGCGCGATGCATCTTCACTCCATCCACCGCTGCAACCTCATATCCCCGCACGTTTCTCAGCCGTCACTCAACCAGAAATTCATGTCATTTTTGACCGTCGATGCAGATGCAGTACGGATGAACATGTGTGGTCACGTTGAGGAGATTATTGGACACCAAATTGCAGTGGAGATCACGCAAGCAATCTTGATCCCAAAACTGTACTCGTACAAAGTCAGCCTTGAGAGCAATCGCCATTTTGTACAGCTAGCAGTAACTTCCTCGTCGGGTTCGCGCAAGCTTCATTATTATTCAGCTCGAGACATTTGTGTCGGTGCAGTCACTGTATCGGACTCAATCGTGGGCGACATATCTCTTGCCTGCGGCTTCAGTCGAGCCTACATCTCACGTCACATAGAGCAGAATATAGTAAGATATCAACAAATCGTTTTTTACACAAGCACTTGAAGATGACCTAAACCTACATGTACCGTCAGACCCGTGCGAGAGGTGACGGAAACCTGCAGCAAGTTCTGCGAACAGATGCAGCCCGCCTCATTTCCTCAATCTCGACTAGTCCGTCTGATCAGTGTGCTTCGTCTGAACACATGTAGCTACCCGAAACGTGGATGCAAGATGCATAAGTCAATTCGCGATCTGAAAGTTTCGGATTACTAGGATGAGGACTTCACGAAAGATCAAACACGATTCAAGCTCATGAGCCACCTTGTGGCCTTGAGGGGGACCAACTTGTCTCATAATGAAACTGTCACCAACTCTAAAGTTTCTTCCACTTGAACGATTTTGGTAGTCTAAATTGAGGAAATCATCGCCATGAAGACTCCCTTCTACCAGGGTCGTAACTTTGAAAAATATATGTAATGAGATGGCTTGACAGCCATCCGGGATTCTAAGGTGTTCGTAATCCGCAACAGCATCACGTCGACCCTCTCCTACGGCGGATACCACAACATAAGATAGGGTCTCACGGGTCTACATGCGAGTTATCGATCGGCATTGATCGTCAGGGGGGTTAGCTGACGGATGAACAATGTGATTGCTACGTTGGTATTTGCTGCCTACTTCTGAAAATGTTCACAAAGCATTGCAGCATTACCTTAACTCGATAAGAGACCTAGCCCAGAGTTGATCTCATTCAAGGGGCACTTAACCTATGCAGGAACGAAACACTGGCCAGTAAGAGTTACGCTTTCAGATCTGCATCGAATCAGGCTTTGAAGTAAATTCGGCAATGCCACGTGGGAACTAGCACACTTCTTGATTCCAGGTATACAATCTCTTTGACTTGAATTCAGGGACTCAACATTTACTTTGCTTGGTTGTAAAAGGCTCTCGTTGTCTTTTTCACTGCTCAGCATGATATCGTGACCCGTCTTATTTACTAACAGCTTGATGAAGGTGAGGCAGGATCCATCAAACTCAAGTAAATCTTCAAAATGTAAAAGTCGAAGTCAATTTTCAGCATTATTGCGAAGACGGAATCATCACAGCTTGCGACGGGCTATGAACCCACAGTTACGGTCTTTCAACACCCATCACTGCTTTTTCAGCTGAAGCACAATGTTATTCCTTTATAGATTATCGATGAGACTCTGGCAGTAACTGCCCAAAACTCATCCCTCAATATGATTCGATTGACATCAAGTCCTTTGGTGTTGATGAAATGCTGCTTTCTGTGCCAATCATTATTGGTGAGAAAAAAAAGTCCATGACGCGTGGGATACGGTTCTAAGATACGCGACCTTCTGTTATGGAACTAGGCCTATCTTCGCGGCCAGAACAACAGAGTGACATCGTAAGATAAGCAATGTGCATAGAGGCAACAATTCTGATAAGAGCTAACTCTATGCGGCTTATCTGCACAAGCGACACCTCGTATTACCCCGCGGTGTCATTGAGGCGCAACGGTTATCAACAAGCCATCGTTGAAGTACCGATACTGTGGTTCTTTATGAACACAGCTAGCCGCTTGATTGTCATTGAACATAGATTTATGTTCTACATCGTGTCAAAATGAAGCAATATCAGGACACATACGATAGGCGCGAAGGAGATTTTGGACATCACAATGACACCAGCCGACCAGTGGTGTACGACGACCTCGACCCTTTTGGCCATGAAGAAAATCACCAGGTTCGTGAAGTGATAAGAATCAGCTCTTCGTGTTCATCGTGGAATTATATCAGACTGACCGCAAACTGCAGATCAAGTATAAAACCATGTCATGGAAGCTTGTCGCGGTGCTCATGATAGCCGAAATCGTGAGCAATGGCATGCTGTCTCTGCCATCATCCTTGGCGGTCGTCGGGATAGTCCCTGGAGTGATTCTCATCGCCTTTCTCGGCATATTTGCAACATACACATCCTGGCTCTTAGTCCAGTTCAAACTGCGGCATCCAGAAGTCCACTCCATGGGCGACGCCGGCCAGATCCTCTTTGGACGGCCTGGCCGAGAACTCCTCGCCTTCGGAACCGTCGTCTTCGCCGTTTTCGCGACAGGTGGACAGCTCCTTGCGGGTCAAATCGCGCTTGCGACGCTGAGCGACAACAAGCTATGTCTGATGCTCTACACCGGCATCTTTGCCGTCCCGACCCTGCTCTTCAGCTTCCCGCGGACAATGGACCAGCTCTCCTGGGTCTGCATCCCTTCAGTAATCTCGATCCTCGTCGCCGGCATCGTGGGCATGATCGGCGCGGGCGTGCACCCGGCCCCGGGCCGACAAGTAGACGTGGCCGTGTCCTCCGACTTTTACACAGCCTTCATCGCCATCACGAATCCCGTTTTCGCGTACGCCGGTCATTTCATGTTCTTCATCCTCATGTCGGAGATGCGGCGGCCGCAGGAGGCGATGAAGGCGGCGTATACCCTCCAAGGCTTCGCGACGACGTTTTACGCCGTCTTCGCCGTGGTGGGCTACGTCTACCTCGGCAGCGAGGTCGCTTCGCCGGCGTTCAGCAGCCTGGAGCCGAAGTGGGCCAAGGCGGCGTACGGGATCGCGATACCCAACTTCTTGCTTGCGGGTTCTCTGTACGCGCACACGGCGGCGAAGTTGATATTTGTGCGGATTTTCAGAAAGAGCCATCACTTGCACAGTCATACGGCTGTCGGGTGGGGGACGTGGGCTGTTTTGGTTGTGCTCATGAACGGCGCGGCGTTTGTGCTTGCGGTGGGTGTTCCGATTTTCAACTACCTTATTGGTATCGCGGCGAGCTTGTTTGCAGCATGGTATACGTATGGTATCGCGGGTGCGTTTTGGCTGCATGATAACTATCACGACTATGATGGATGGAGGCAGTGGGCGCGGAAGTGGTTCCAAACCATGCTGGCGGTCCTGACGTTCGCTGCTGGTGGCTTCATCTGTGTTGCTGGGACGTATGTCACTGTGAAGGGCATCGTGGAGGCATATGAGTCTGGTGCGGTTGGAGAACCTTTCAGTTGTTAGACTTGGAGATAGTAATGCACTGATGAGGAGCTGCGGTATCAAGGTATCGATAGGATGGGAAAGTGAATTTAATGGGGAATTCCTAAGTCTGCTCAACATTTTCGTATTCCCAAGTCGATGTCTTGGATATCTCGACCCCGGTGATACTTCCGTCTCTAACTCTGAGCTGACACCGTCGATCAGCAACATGTTGGGGGCACAAAGAATGTCACATGGCTAGGATTGACGAAAATAGATTCAGTCCTTAAACGAAAACAGCCACAGATGTTGGGATTTGGCGGGAACCGTTAGGTGATCAGTTTGCTGCGCTTGCCACAGCTGCAAGCGGCATCTCTCGTAACAACTGTTCTCCATGCCCGTCCTGCTCAGCCACTGGACGGCAAAGTTGGCCCGTTGATACGTTACTTAACTTGGAGTCTCTGGCAGCATGTGAAGCACAATAATAGTAAGAGATAAACAAGCCAATAGAGTACGGATAGAACTGAGAATATGAGCTGATGATGGAAGTACGTACTTGAGCCGGGACGGAGAAAAGGGACAAGGATCTTCCTGAATGACGTCAAGCTCGGCGCTGGGGACCGCATTTGTTCCGGTCTCCGCTCCCTCCCGCTGCTCCTCCACCTGTGGCTGTGGGCCTCCCGGACTTCTATCTCACTAAACTTTACCTTCAGATCGCTAAGCTCACCTTCATTCAATAGTCTATCATATCCTCCCCGAGGTATGGCTGCTTTCAAAGGTGTATCGGTGTGTGGTGTGCTATCCGCTGATTGATTCTCATGAACTTCCATCAAACCAGACAAGACACGCGACACTCGCCAACCAGCAAATCATCCTTCAATCCAGGCCGGAAGCCGTCGTGCAGGGCTTCGGTCCCCTGCTGTTTCACTGGTTCCCGTCTTGGAATCTCGATGGAACCGACTCTCAGTCCCCTTTCTGGATGCTAGAAGAGGGCGCCCAGCGTCGCATTCATACAGCGTCTAGGTCGCAAACATGGCCTGCCGATGATGACTGGTGAAGTCATCGCCGCCAACCGCACCCAAGTGGGCACCCAATCGCCGCCAGCGCGCCAACGCGGTTGGTTCCTGGATTGGATCCAGCACCGACTGGCCTGCCAAGCCCTTCCAAGTTTTGGCTCGCCTGCTTTCTCACACGCTCTTCTCCCCGTTGAACTTGCGCCGGTGCTAGCCATGATCCGCCCCCCTCTTCGCTTGTCAAAGACGGCTCTTACCACCATCGGGAGGCGAGGGGTCTCTGATGGAAACGGTATGATAGTGTGGCGTTTTCGTTGATGGCTTCCTGTTGGTCCACGACCATCAGCACACAGACTGGAGCTACTGGGCAGCTCCACGCCTCATCACGGCCACACACAACCCTCTCTCTCTTGTCTCCATACTTTGGGCCTGACAGCTGTTTGCTAATTAGTGCGGCGACCATCGTTCACAATGTTCCATCGACCGGTTGAATGTGCGGTACTACTTTGGGCGCTACCTACTTGTGGCAGAGGATGAAAGCTCACCCCCGCGTTTTCGATTTCTTGGATTCAGGGCCAGGCCAAAAGTCGCCTCAGCCAGGGATCCAACTTCTAGACCGAGATGGGGTACCACTAAGTCTAGTTTTTTCCCCTGGATTTTGATTCTGATGCTAATTCTTATTCTTGTTCTTGTTCTTGTCAAAACTTATTCCTCAATCCTTCTATCAACCCTCTCACGGGCTCGTTGTCACGTCACGTCACGAGCCAAGAGCTCCATATTCTCAACCTCAAATCGTAGCCTTCACCCTTCAAATCTGTCGTTTCAGTCATCCATTGCCCCAATAATAATAATCCTCTATCTCTCCAATACCTCAATCCCTCTGCCTGCGCAAGGACTGACCTCACAAGCCCTGCCATCCCGCTCCTGTCCTTGCGGGCGATGTGACAACCCCTACCACCCAACTGCAGGTGGCGACATCATAGTGTGCCTCGAACCATCCAACCGCCGTCCACGCATCAGAGCCTCCCCGTCACTATCTGGCATCCCTGACGGAACGGCCTTTGCCAGTTGCCACGCCTCTTTTCTCTCACGATGTCTTTCGTAAATCTCTCCCGTCCCCCTCTCGACCATCGGGCCCATAGCGATACCAACGTCCGGCCTAGATTCAATTCCCACAATACTTCCGACCGTCTAAGAGAAGGTTCAGGGCTTCGACCCAAGGCGTATCCAATGGTCAGCAACATCAAAAAGGGCAGGAAATCGGTCTTCAAAGAGGTGGGACTGGACGACGACTTTAGCGACGACTGCGGCTCGCCCGTTGTGGAGACTTTCCAACAGTCTTGTGGCCGACAGGAATCGATGTCTAGCGAGAAGGTGTTCGGAGATGTACCTGGGCTGGAGGAAGCGAAACGCGACGGTACATCGAACGATGAGGAAGACGACGCAGAGGACGACGGAGATGGGGACAGCAGGCGTTCTGCGACGGAACAGCGCGAAGCAGCGAACGACTCTAGACAACAGAGCTCAAGTCAGGCTGTAAAGGTGTCTTGGTACAACAAGCTTTCTCAGGGTTATCGACGGCCGAGGATCAAGACGGTCTCTAGCGCACCACCACCTACAATCTCAAGTCTGCAGCGCATTGGCATGATTGCACTACTCATCGCGGTCATCATCCCGGCATTCAGCTATAACAATGGCCGCCAGAAGATTGAGAGTGGTGCAATCGCGGGTGTCGTGCGTCCACGAGCAACGACATCAACGGATGTCTGTCTTAGATGGGCACAGCAGGGTGAGTTTCGGGGACCGTAGCATGGGTAGCTCTGCTAACAGTGGTCAGCGGCTTTACTCAACGGCACTCTTTATATGTATGGAGGTCAATCCAAGACGGAGTCTTCGCAAACCGTCAACACCTGGAGTATGACTTGCGAAACCTGTGGCTGAGACTAGGAAATTGATCTGACAATTCCTCGCAGATAACGACTTTCTCACTCTTGACCTAACGAAATCATGGGACACGAAATCGCCCTCTCTCAAGGGCATGGCAATACCTAGTGGGCCTCCAGCAGTCGCCAACGGCTACTTGTGGCACGACTACGACTATCTCTACCTCTACGGCGGCCAATTTGCTGATAACGACGGCGCTGAAGGCACGTACGCCACCGTTGCTCCCATGTCGATCTGGCGATACTCTGTCAAGGACAGCTCCTGGCTCGAGTTCAAGGACCCGCGCACGTCAGCTGGCAACTATTCGACTGCCGCCAATACTCCCGTTCAACGTTCCGCCGAAGGCGCGGGCTTGTCGGTACCTGAGCTCGGTTTGAGTTGGTATTTTGGCGGCCACCTCGACTGGCTGACCACCGAGGGTTGGTCGACCCAGACTCCGAGGGTGTATCTCAAGAGCCTGCTAGAGTTTACACACCCCGGATACCTGAACACTGGTGTAGACGCCCTTCGTGCTGCTGGCGCTGCCGATGGCGGAGTGTTTCGTAACGTGACTGAGGGCGGGCTACAGGAAACGGATGCGTTCCCGGAACGAGCTGACGGTGTCTTGGTTTTTGTGCCCGGGTGGGGCGCGAGGGGAGTCTTGATCGGCATGGCGGGAGGATCTGACAAGACATTTGTCGACGACCTGGGCACACTCGATGTCTACGATATCGCTACGTCTGAGTGGTATCATCAGAGGACGACAGGTGACCGGCCCTCCGTCCGCGTCAACCCATGCGCCGCCATTGCGAGCGCACCAGATGCCTCGAGCTTCCAGATCTACTTCTTCGGCGGACAAAACTTGCAGCCTTTTGTAGGCCAATACTCGTTCTCTCGAAAACTGGAAATAGACTGACACATTCATGCAGGGCAACCAGACACAGTACAACGACATGTATATCCTCTCCATCCCCGCCTTCGCCTGGATCAAAGTCGACGCAACCGACGGCGTCCCCGCCCCTCGCGCCGGCCACACTTGCACCATGCGCGACGGCCAAATCATCGTCGCCGGCGGTTATCTCGGCCCCGACGCCGGGTGTGAATCTCCCGGTGTCTTTGTCTTCGACGCGAGCAACCTCAAATGGAACACGGGCTTCAAAGCCGGAGCCCACGCAGCAGACTTCAGCTCCGAGAACTCCGTTCTGGCTGGGTCCTACGGCTACAAAGTCCCCGACAAAGTCCAGAGCGTCATCGGTGGCAGCTCCGAAGGCGGGGCTACCGCAACCACACCTGCTGCCGGTCCAGCTACGGGTGGTCCGTTCAAGACGGGCACGCCGCCCGTTTTCACTGTGACGCAGGGTGGCGCGACAGCTACAGTCACGGGCGTGGGACCCACGAGCACATCCGCGGGACAGGCGCCGACAACCAAGGACCACGGAGGCGGGACGAACCCTGGCCTCATCGCTGCAGGCGTTATCGCCGGTATCCTAGGCGCGCTGGCCTTGTATCTCGGCTTCTGCGCGTGGCTCTACCGACGCCAGGTCGCGGCGTACAAGCAGCATCTATCTCAGGTGAACCGGTACTCCGGCGCAAGCTCCATGCACTTCGGTGCGGCAGGCTTCTTTGGTGCTGGAAATCGCGACGAGGAGAGGAGAGAGCGTGGACACCGTCGAGACGCGAGCATGGTCAGCGACGAGTCCTTCTCATGGGTTGGCACGGGCCTCGAACCAAAGTGGATGACGGATGATCCTACGCCGGGATCTGGATCTGGCGGCACGGCGAGCGGTAGCGGTGCTGGCAGCGGGTTCAAGAGGAAGAGTGAGGACGCGAGGACGTTCAAGAGCGGGCCGAGTGGGAACGATCCGCGCACGAGCTCCAGTCGACGCGACAATACGGACAATGAGAGTGTTTCCAGCACCGAGCAGTTGCTTGATGGGCAGGAGCCAAGTTTCTTCTCGGTTGTCATGGGGCCTAGGCGTGCTTTGCGGGTCGTCAACAGTACCGACTGAGGTAATGAATAATACACGAATGGTTCACGAAAACATCTGGAGCGGGGAGCTAGGATAGGAAAAACACGAGATACACGAGGATGTACGAGGATACACGACCTTTTTCTGTATATATATACACACACACGATCAAGGGGAGAGGATCGAACCCTCAATCGCTCAAGCTAGATACCCTTCCTACTATGTACACGATTTTTTCATGCTAAACCTCTCTCATTCAAAGACTTGGAAAACTTTGACATAGCTCGTCTCCATCAAGGTAGCAAGGTATGTCCCTCGGCCGTCGGCCGTCGGCAGGCAGCGTCGTCTTCTTGACCGCCTCTCCCCAGAAACAAAACGCAACGATCGTCGTCCCATGTTTCTCAATTGACTTTTTGGAAGTGCCGCCATGCCCGTGTCGTATGTCTTGGGTCTGTGGAACGTGCTTCGCTGCCACTTTTTCGAATTGAGTTGATGGGGGGTTCAGAGCTAAAACGGATGCAGACTTACAGAATGCCAGTGAACGCATGGCCTAATCTGAGACAAAAACAACGACCATTGGCGGAGAGGATTGCGATCGACCGAGACATCGTGAGCTGTCGAACAAGATTTCTCAATAGTATGACAGAAACACACATTAGCTTAGGTAGTACAGAGAGGGACGGGCCGGCTTGGGTGAACTTCATGTCGTAACTCGTACCAAACACAGCAGAATCGGGAGCCAGCTGATCGACTTTGTAAAAGTATCACTCTCGTCCACGGGCCTTGAGTCGTGTCTCTCCACAGATTGAACCACGGTACGGAGCAAATGAGGATGCATTCCGGATGTCTTCTAGCTCACGGCATAGCGGCATTCGGTCCTTTGACGCTTGTTTATTCGTCCATTCGGGGCCCTACGGGTGAGGGAATTAGCTAAGAGCTTGTTACTTTGAGATACTGGAGAAAGCACCGTACAATCAAGTACACGGTCGAGATGTTGAATTCAAAGTTTGCGATGGAGCCCGCGCTAAACCCCAAAGCATCTTTGACAATGGAGAAAGCCTGTGGAGAGGGATGGGCAGTCCATTGACTCGTCGATTTCTCAATTTCTCAGTGGGCTCATTTCCCTATCAAACCTTGATCTTTTGATGCTATTTCTGCCCACTGGTTTGCGTGATCAAAAGATATTTTTTTGCTTGATTGTTTTTTTGTTGAATCCACGGCCTGTCTGGACTCTTTTTCTTCACCGGCGACGACTCCTCAGGTCAAGCTGCTCTCAACAGACCTGTCATATTTTCAATCTCTTGACTCGCAGCCACCTGAACATCCGACAAGGTCCTTATCGCGACATCGAAGGGCATGGCCATTCCCCTTTAAAAGGTTACAACGACGTCCGTCACGTCATCGCGTATCCCCAGGGTCTTGACTCGACCCTGTTCCCTATTACAGCCAAATAAGCCCAGATAACCCTAAACAAAGCAACCCCCGGTAATACCGATGTGCCATAGGGATGAACTCTAAAGCGTAGCCCAGGCTGCCCAGTCCCCATTATTCCCATCCGTCCACGGCCCACGGCGAGAGAGGAAGTCCCACTCTCGGCCGACCGAGATCGATACGACTCTGTACCTCGAGCCTCGACGCGGGCGTTCGGGTTCTCCTGCACGAACTACCACATTCGTCAAAGTCGACGGTGCTTGATTGGGCAAACATCGTCACGACTTTCTCTACCGCGCAGTGCCCACACACACCACTCACTCTACTTGACGCTAATGTCGCGGGCCGGGCATCTCCCCCACACCAGACGGGCATGCCGGTGCGGTGTAAGGCGTCTCTCTCTCTCTGTCTCTGGGTTTTCGACGAGGATCGACAGCCGCTAGGCCTCATTCCAGCTGTCTCGCGAACATCGCATCATTCAGCTGCTGTGGCACGGAATTCTCAATCATTCCCACCCCGCGAAGAAGCGGAGGGTGGATGGGGTTCATGTTTGTTTATAATGAGCGGCGGGGAACCCTCTTCCTTCGTCAAAGCTTTCTTGACAGTCTCGTCACTACAGTTCTCGCTCGAACCCGCCGATAATACCAAAAAGCCTAGCTCTCGTTCATAGGCTTTCTCTCCCTCCACTCTCGTTCTGTTTAGCCCGTCATGAAGTTCACTCTCAGCTCCCTCGTGCTCTCGGCAGCATCGAGCCTCGTTGCGGCCCTGCCTATCAACGACACCCAGGTCTACGATGCCATCATCGTCGGCGGTGGCCCGTCTGGTCTCAGTGCCGCGAGCGCCCTCGGCCGTGTGCGCCGTAACACCCTCCTCATCGACTCTGGCGAGTACCGCAACGCGCCTACCAGACACATGCACGATGTTCTCGGCTTCGATGGTGAGTGATTCTCGTTCAGATAGCTTTCGTATTCTTGTGGATGGTTTCTAACACGAAACAGGCGTCACTCCCGCATGGTACCGCTACGCCGCTCGCCAGCAAATCTCCCACTATGACACTGTCACCTTGACCAACGGCACCGTCACCAAGATCGGAGGCAGCGATGCCACCGGCTTCGTCGTCTCCGCCACCTACGCCGACAACTCCACCAAGTCGGTCCGCGCGCGCAAGATCATCTTGGCCACCGGTCTGCAAGACGACCTCCCCGAGACTCCGGGTCTGTGGGAGAACTGGGGCAAGGGCATCTACTGGGTATGTCACCCCCAACATCCGTCCATTATCTCACACCAAACTTCGATTCTAACATGCTCACTCTAGTGCCCCTGGTGCGACGGCCACGAGCACGCAGACCAAGCCCTCGGCCTCCTCGCCTCAACCTTCGACGACCTCCCCTCCCTCGTCCGCGAGATCCTCACCCTCAACACGGACATCATCGCCTTTGCCAACGGCACCGACACCCCCGCCGCCCGCGCCGAGACGGAGGCCAAGAACCCCAAGTTCCAGGAGTACCTCGACCTCCACAACGTCACCATCGACAACCGCACCATCACGGCCATCACCCGCCTCAAGGACGGCGGCAACCCGCCCCACGACCCCTCCCTCCCCACCGCACCCGAGGAGGATCTCTTCTCCGTCAGCTTCAGCGAGGGCGAGCCCGTCGAGCGTGCCGCGTTCTTCCTCAGCTACCCCGACGAGCAGCGCAGCACCATCGGCGCAGAGGCTGGCGTGCAGCTCTGGGGCGGCCGTCTGGCTGCTGATGTGAGCAAGGGATACGCGACCAACGTGGCTGGCATCTACGCCATTGGCGATGCAAACTCGGATAACAGCACCAACGTCCCTCATGCGCTGTACACGGGCAAGAGAACTGCTGTCTTCTTGCACGTCAAGCTCGCAAAGGAGGACCAGGCCAAGGAGACTGGTGTTAATGTCACTGCTCTGAGGAGAGAGTTGGACCTGGAGGAGCGTTCCATCTGGGATGTCGCCAACGGTCAGCCCACCGACATCCTGTATGCCGGCGAGTACGACCAGTAAATAATGGATATGCAAACATATCTCACCAAAAGCATTTTGATTTTTTTTTCGCGATAGCGATACCAAAGATACCTGAATAGACATTGTACAATTTTCGACTTCATTCACATGTTCCCGCTCATGTATGTTCACTCCGCCTCATCCTCAATCTCAAGATTGCCGACCCGAAACTTCTTGCCCTTCATGTCCGCGTAATCATTGTGATCATGATAATCCCTGACCCGCTCCCTCACATACTGCAATCCTCTCACCGGCGCAGCCTCCTCCGCATGCTCCCTAACGAGCCCAAGCCTCTTCAACAGCGGCGACGGCGCAGGCTTGATATCAACATCATCACCAGGCCTCACAAAGTAAAACAGACCCTGTCGAAACAAATGAGCCTGGTCCTCAGGCGGCCTCACAACGCGGTGCGTCGTCGACTTCAAGTACCCCGCGGACCAGAAATCCAGCGTATCCCCAACGTTGCAGACGATGCCGCCGTCCACGGGCGGGACATAGCGCCACTCGCCCGCGCCATTGGGAGCTGACGGAGAAGAGGTCTTGATCTGGAGGCCCGCGACGTCCTGGCTCCATAGGAGGGTGAGGGAGCCAAAGTCGGTGTGGGCGCGCGACCAGGTGTTGCCGACTTTGAGGTCGTCGGCGAGGGGGCGGGGGTGGTAGCCCATGTAGCGGAGGTGGTCTTCGCTCGGGGAGGCGTAGGCGTGGCGGGAGGAGAAGTAGTCTTCTGGGAGTTCGAGGATGATGGAGAAGAGGGTGAAGACTTTGCTTGCTAGGTCGAGAGAGCGCTATTGAAGTGTGTCAGATTACGTGAGTGAGACTCGGAGAGTAAGAAGCCAATTCGATAATCAAACAGAAGCCTGTGTAGATGGTATACGCACTCTTGAGAACTCTTCGATTTCTTGTCTAAATGGCTCAAAGAAGGGGTGGAATGGCTCATCTTTGTACTTTGGGATGAATTTGGCGATGTTAACCGACTCGACGTTGTTAAGCACATCCGTTCCTTGCATCTTCTTATCATGCGCCTGATGCCCTGATGAGTTTTCGTTCCTTACAGAGCAACATCTTCAGACGTTGCAAGACTCACTGATCTATATCCAAAGTAGTTCCCCTTGGAAAAGTCGCACGTGTTGCCCGGCCTGGCCTTATCTTCGGCATCAAGATTGAAGAAACCTTGGCCAATGTCATACTGGCGATGCACTTCCTCAGGTGTGAAGCCTGTGTTGATGAGACTGAAGAAGCCAGTTTCATGAACCTAATGCACATATCAGATCTCTGCCCAGATTCAAGACTTGAATGTACCTACAGCTTGTCGAAGTTCTTCGGCCAACTGCTTCTTCCCGCCTGGCTGGTCGAACTTGCTAATGTCAATCACAGCGATATCTGCCCAGGGCAGTTCGTGTTGTGTCTTTGCCGGACGCTGCCATTTTGGCAGGGAGACTGGCTCCGGAGATATGGCTGAAGGCATCTTGATTGATGGATCGTAGCTGTATCTCGAGTTGAGGCGACTCTTGGTTCCAGTACGCAGGTTGGAAGTCAATTTCTGTGAGGTCATAATTGTCTTTCCATAAATACCCCTCCATCCGATGTCGAGCCGTTTATGTCTTGCCCCCGCGCGCCCCGCGCCACCCCCGTTGTGCCGTGTCGGAGTGAGATCGCCGGAATTCGAGCACGCCATCTCGACTGGGATGACGAGCCGCATCCTGATGGTGGTACTGGCAGCATGTGTCCAATCACCGGCTAAGGTGTTCCTCTCCAAGCATAACTGCCGCTGTAGGTTGGTGTTATCTTCGGTATGTTTCCGAGACTTTTCATTTTCATTGTCTGGTATGGTTGATTGACAAGAATCGAAACATGCTTCCCTCTCAACTAGGGGATGTCAGGTCTCAAAGACCACGTAGCGTCCGTAGAATCGCAATTGTCTTGAGCCAAGATCTGGAAATTTTCGTCTCCCTCTCATATGCCTGTCAATTCCTCCAAGGTTATTTTCGGGGAGTCGAGTCTTACTCAATATTGTTGTTCTCTTCGGAGTTCTAGCCAGTTCACCGCAACGACGGTCTTCGTAACTTAAGTCCACCTCAACGTGTGGTATTGTGACGTTGTAAGGATAAATCCAGGCACCACGTCCCGCCAGATACTGAAGGATTCGACCAAGACAAGACAACAACCAATGAAAATGCCCTCAGTCGTCAATTGCAGGACGTTACATGGGCGAACTTGCCGTGCACATGGCCCCGCAGTAAGGCGTGCTTCATGCAGACATATCTTGGCTCTGTATCTTCCGTGATCGGCATCAAGTTGAATCAAACATTGCGAGATGTGAAAGACCATACATCTTAGATACTCGGATCAAAGACTTCAGCTAGTAAACATCTTGTGTTGCATCCGAAGCCATATCTCTTCCCTACAAGCTGTGCTCGATCACCCTCGTAGACTCGAGCCCCCGCGGCGAACCTCGAATCGAGCATGGGAACCCAACAGAGCCCTGAGAGCAGGGCCCTCTCTGCCTCTGAAGAAAAGCTCCTCCTCAAAACAGCCCATCGCAAAGTCGACAAGAGGCTCCTGCTATGGTACTCCTTCGTCTACCTCATCATGCGAATCCACGTCAGCAACATCAGCAACGCAGCCATCATCAACCTAGAACAAGGCACCGGCATCAAGAAGCAGCTCGGCAATCTCTCTAGCTCAGAGTGGGCGTGGGCGCTGAGCATCTTTTATTATCCGTACATGTTCTTCGAGCCCCTGGCCACGCTCGCGTTGAAGAGGTTCTCACCTTCGGTGTGGATGAGCCGGATTATGATTACTTGGGTAAGTATGTTGGGATACCAGTTGAGCTCTGTGCAGTGGCTGCGTGGTTTGCTGACGCTGATGAAAGGGGATTGTATCAATGTGCCAGGGCGCAACTCAGAATCATGCTGGTATTCTGGCCTGTCGGTTCTTCTTGGGGCTTGCTGAGGCGGGGTTTTACCCCGGTGTTTTGTATCATCTCAGTTTCTGGTATCCTACTAATAGACTTCCGCTAAGAATTGTGAGTTCAGAAGCTCTGGCTGAGTGCACGAAAAGATGCAACAACTCATGCTTTTCTAGGGCTTCTTTTACGCCTGCGGGATGTTCTCTGGGACTATCAGCGGTCTTCTAGGTGAGCAGTGGAGAACTGGCCGTACTCAACTGATAAAAATTGCTGAGACTGATTGATAGCATACGCAATTTCGTTTATGAATGGCGTCGGTGGTCTATCCGGTTGGAGATGGGTAAGTCGCCTTTTCTCAGAAGGTCACCGCAAGTGTCATTGACTAACTCAACGAAGCTCTTCATTCTAGAAGGAATTCCCGCCATCTTTTGCGGCATCTACACATTCTTCTTCCTACCAAACTGTGAGTCCTATATCATTTTGACACACTGCTACTGTAGCTACGTCCGGCTTGTTTCTGAGGAGTACTCATACAAAACCAACTTCAGACCCCGAGACCGTCACCTTCCTCACGGACTCCGAAAGAGAAGCAATCCTATCCGATCTTCCAGAGCAAGCACCCAGCATGAAGTCCAAAACCATCAATCTTCGACAGGTCAAAGATCTTTTCCGCGATCCGACGTTCATGCCATTCTTGATGATTTGGATTACCCACGGCATCGGCGGATGGGGAATATCCTTTGTTCTGCCGACTGTCATTTACGAACTCGGCATTTCGAACACTGCTATTTCACAAGTAATGACCATGGTAAGTTTCAAGGTCTTTCATGTTGTCCTCGTGGAGCGTGTTGAAGAAACACTAATCTTTAAATAGCCCCCCTTTACCTTGGTCTTCGTGATACTGTTGACGCTCGCCTTTTTTGTACACACGAAGCGACTTAGTCCCTGGGTCGCTGGCCTGGGCCTGGAAGCTGCCCAGATCGTTTGCTACGTGCTTCTCATCACGGTCAAGCATCCCATTGCCAAGTAAAGACCTCACCCCCCCTGCACAATGATTTCAGGGCTGACTCTGTGCCAGATACATTTTTGTCATGATCGCGACCGCCGCGTCTCAAAGTTTCTTTGCTATAATATGGCCGGGTACGTGGTGCAAACCAAACACTATCAAAGGTGACTTGGGCCTAAAGCAGCTGACAAAAACCCTACTGTAGAACGTATTAGAGCGGCAAAAGGAACCACGAGCGCAGGCCTCGCCATCGGTGTGACCAATGTGAGAAAGTCAAAGCTCCCGCCTACCAGATTCCAAAGCGATGCTAATCCAAATCCATCCTTCAGGCATCATGTCAGCTCATGGGCATTGTAGTAAGTGCAATCCCATGTCGATATCTCGCTCGTTGCTCGTGCCTTCTGACGAACTTTGAATAGGGTCCCCAGATATACCAGTCGAGATTCGGGCCCACGTACAGAGTCAGCTACTCCTGCTCCATTGGTCTGCTCTGCGGAACGCTGTTGGCTGTTTCCGCGGCCTGGTTTTTCGTGTCTAGGCAAGATCGGAAGGAAACAAGCAGTGGACGCGTATCAGCAGAAGAAGACTCGGAGGATAGTGGCCATATGAGAGCAACCATCGTTGAAGGCAAGGCCTAAATGCTGGCAGTTACATCTTGAAAAAACTCAAAGAAAATATGTAGCTCCCTATCCATAGCTTCAGCATATGTGGGACCCAGACTATTAGTTTCCTTTGCCTTGAAGACGTTGCAGGCTTTCCTGGCCAGGCAGAATTGACACACAGAAACGCAAATTTAGGAGGAGTTCGTAGCATATTGAACAAGTACCTAGGTATCGCAATCTAGTCTAGTAAAAGGGCGCAATAAAGGTGAGGGGAATCCACCTCATACCAATCTAGTCCCCTGTCGCGTCTCTTCTAGAAACGAGAAGGAATCAAACCTGATACTTCATCTTCCTAACAGGATTGAAAAAAAAAGTCCATTGCCAGTGGACGGCTGATCACTTGCGCTGGTTTCACAGGGTATGGTTAGTCTTGGTGTAAAGCAACTTCTGGCACCTGTCGTTCATGAGATATCTCTCTTCCCGCTCCGCCGCCGCGCGTCTGACCATCTCGAACTGCGAGGAACCCTCCTCGCTGGGAAGCATGATGGCGCGGTCGAGCGAGTACGGCAGCCCGCGGTGGCGGCCGCGGATCATCATGGCGCAGATGACGAGCTTGCTGAACGTTGTGAACTCGCCGCTGAGGGAGGTCATGACCGACGGGTGTCCCAGGGACAGCCCGACGTTGCCGCTGTAGTTTAGTGAGCGATAAAAGACGTGGGATCGTTGGGGGTCGGGATACTTGCTATGCGCTGACGACTTCGAAGAAGACTGGGAACACGGAGAAGGCCTAAGTCAAGAATACATGTCAGTGATTGAGGTAAGATTGATTGGCATAGGGAGTGGGAAGAACGAACTGGCTCGTTAAGATCCATGATCCGTTCCGACTCTGCGATGCAGATGCAAAAAGTTCCCAGAAAGATGTACCACAGGTCAAAGCTGAGTTGGTTGCGGACGTGAGACATGATGTATGATGCGCCGTTACTCTCGTCGAGCTGGCTGTCGTCGCTGTAGATGCCCAGCGCCTTCTCCTCGTATGTGTTGGAAGCACGGATGCTGATGGCAATCGGGTAGATGGCAATGTACATCATGGACAAGAGACTGAATTGCACAGCCGGGTTGACGAGGGAGAGGTTCAGCGTGGCGGTACCAGTGTGACGCGCGGAAGCAGCCTGGAAGAGCGCGGATAAGATGCGCGGGCCCATGGGTAGGTCGTTGACGGCCGCATTGTCGAGGTCCAGGACGATGATCAGCAGGACATCGATGAAGTTGAGGGCGAAAACTATCCCGAAGAGGATCCAGGTCGGCTTTCTGGGGAATAAGAGCGTGTAGCACCGTCTCGGGTGGTCCAGCAGGAACTGGAGATGCTCCCTGGTGGCCGAATTCCGGGGGACGACTTTTGACATGACCCAGATGGCGAGGCGGAGGAAGACGGGGTAGCAGGTGTTTCCCGCAAAAGCAAGGAACGTCATGACGAGCATAGGCCAGGTCGCGTCCCTGAAGCTCGCCATCGAGTCCGGCGTGAGCGTGAAGCCCAGGTTGTCGACCATGGTCTGCGCCGAGTAGATGGCCCACCAGGTCCGGTCCTGCGCGCTCTGAGCCAGGACGTCCTTGTACTTTGACGGTGCGTTGTGGATCCATGACACGAGGCAGACGACTCCGAAGAGATGGAGCCCGGCGAAGAAGACTACCGCTGGATAAGCCAAATCTGTTTCCGGGGACAAGGGGAGTTATGCAGGCGTGTACTAGATATGATCTTGAGCAGGAGCTTCAGGCTCCGGTACTCGATGCCGCCAAGGGTCTCGCGGTCTTGTTCGGTGAGGTTGAAGAATTGGGAGTTGCGACCGACGGTAACCTGTTGAGATAGTCTGGGAAGGTCTATGGTGCGGGAGCGGCTGAACGTGCCAGAGCGACGTGATTCGGTATCGGTGTGTCTTGTCTGTCCCAAGACCAGCATCGAAGAAGCAACCTTCTCGATGGAGAGGGCCGCACGCATTGCAGGACCATTAGCGTGGTGCGATCTCCGTCTCGATAGGCCAGTCGATGCCCTTCGAACAGGTCGGATGGCGTCAGTGTCTTTTTGCCATGTCAGCTCAACTACACACACCCTAGTCTGCTGGAAAGCGAGTCACAAGTGCCTACCATCAGTCTCACCGCGTCCAACAGATATCTCAGTGATCGGCTGGCCTAGAAAAGGGGGACTTAGCTAGCGAAGGCTGAAGAAAGAACGGCACACACCATTGATGCGATCTATGGGCCCAGGTACGTGAAGCACAGTGGTATCTGCACGAACAAGAGGCCTAGGTACTGGCAGGTGGTCGTCGAAGGTGATGTTAGTCGGCCTAGATGTAGTTTTGGGCTGTTCGTCCATCTCATGGGATGCGTCCTCGTTTCCAGATGCCTGGAAGGAATGCTCTGGTAATGGAGCTGCTTCGTGCTGCAATGGCTTCTCACTCTCTTCACCGAGCTTTCGTTCCGACTCTGTGTTGGCCTCTACGTCTTCGCCGCCATATCTTCTGAGTGAACTAGGAGCTTCAGGGCCCTGTTAACTCGGACAAGCATGAGTAATACGCTTTGCAACTTTACCAATATTTCGAAGACGCTGCCGGAACCAATACAGACGCGCTACGACCACGACAATGTTGACAAACATCAAGTTGGTGATCATAGGAATCACGTAAATGTACACCTGCTGATAAGTCTTCAAGTCCTTCACATCAATGCTGCAACATCATCAAACTGTTAACTTCCTATTGCGACTCGAAACAAGAAGAAGGCCATGCTCTCACGTACGTGTTCAGTCCAGACTCTGTCGACGAACTGCAGCCGAAGAAGAAGGCGTCCACGGCGGCCAAGTTGCCGTACGGAAATAGAATCACCCATGACAGTAGGCTACAGAATAAAATCCACACATCTGAACATTGAAACAAATTCCAGTCAGTTTGATTCAACTACTGACGCCGACAAAGTCGACTTCTGATGCGGCAAAACAAATCGCAAAGCCACGAGAAAAGCGCGCTCGCATTCGTCGAGGGCAAGGGCGCGACATACAGTGAAGGGAGATGAAATTAAGCTTTGGCTTCCACATGGCAGCGGCTATAGAGGGCTTTCAGACGGCGGTGAATGTATATTCGGACGTAGAACACGCCAGTCGATGCAGTAAAGAAGGTAGCGACGACAAAGCGTAAAGTAGAAATCGAGATGAGGGAGGAAACAGGCAAGTTGAGACACCACGGGGGCCAGTGTCGTTGTAAATGGCGCATGACCCCAACCGACAGACGTAATCTCATTCCGCCAAGATCAGAGGCCGCCAGCTACGCCAAGAGCACCCCGCGCTATAGGTGTGGATGCGTCCACCGGGAGAGTTGCGTAGGGAAGTTTTTGAAAGGTTTCTCCTAAGCTACATTATTACATATTCAATATCTCAATTGTCTCTGTATCTATTTCCTACAAGAGATCATACTCTTCATAATCGGTGTGAGGCGACATCTACGCATTTCAATAGGATGACTATCGCATTCACATCCACATCCACATGCTTGAGGTTGCCGATAAACAACACCCCAAATGGCAGAGATTTCAAGGCCTGAAGGACTCGTAGCAAGGCCATAGTACAAAAGTCGGACGAGGCCCAAGAAACATTTCTAGACTAGATCCTAGATTCTACCGGAGCGTTACTGAGAGGAAGAGCACATCACACGTCACATCATCAGTTGAACGCAGTATCTTGCAAGACAAAAATGTCATATGCCATGTGTCTTCATTGGCTATCGTGCTCCCTTTCCAAGGAGTTCAATCTCAGTATTTGGCCCTCCATCGGGCAACGACCAACGACCAACCCTCCCGCCGGATCCGTTCCATCTGTCATTTCAATCGAATTTTCAAGGCCGCATACCACCACGCCGCCGGCTATCATTCTTAGAAAAGCCTGATGAGACCTTCCCATCGCGAAAAAGAAAACAAAAAACACAGTTCCGTTGCGGCCGGTGACCATCCGAAAGTGTTTCCCCTCCCTGATTCTTTTTTTGTTGATAGATCGTACACGCTCGAAGACCATACACTTGGGTAATGAGTAGAGAGAAGAAAGTTTCCCCGTAGAAAGAGACCGCATGAATTATCCTTGCCACCTGCAGCTTATAACCATCTGCAGGCCCAAAGAGAGAGAGAGTCTTGTAAACAGTTAACGACGTGTTCGGGGGCACCGAGGCCTTAGCCACCTCTCATTCCACCGTAATGACGTGGGTGAGATGGCCGACGACCACTACCTTCCTAGTGGTAGTTTCCGCCCCAACCGCCGCGCTGCTGTTGCTGGCCGCCGCTACCGTAGTATCCACTGCCGTAAGCGCCCTGCTGGCCGTAGGATCCGAACGGAGCGCTGCCGTGCTGACCGCCGGAAGCGCCTCCCATGCCGTAGGCACTGTTTCCGTGCAGGTTGTGGCCCTGGAGATGACTGGGGTAACCGCCGTAGCCACCCATCTGAGAGGCGGACTGGGGCGGGGGGAGACCAGTCTGACCCGAAGGGGTGTTCGTGGCCGAGCCGGGGCGAGCGCCGCCGAGAGAAGGCGAGGGACCGGCACCGGGCTTGCTCTCACCGAAAGGCTTCAGATCATCGTTGGCAGAAGCAGCGTTCGACTGGGCAGTGCTGTTAAATCCTTGTCCAGCAGGGCTCTGGAACGAAGAGGAGCCACGGCCAAAGGTGTCCTGAACACCGCCGAAGCCACTGCCGGCCAGGCCGGGCTGGTTGCCAGACTGGGCGGAACCAGCGCGGCCTCCAAAGTCACCTCCAAGTCCTGAGCTCAGAGCGCTATCGGCACGGTGCAGAGATGACTGGCCGAAGCCAGCAGCAGGGGACGAGGCGTGGTCGTAGGGGCCCTGGGGCGACATGCCGTATCCGGGGTGGCCGCCATATCCCTTGTTGCCGCCGTACGGAGCACCGCCATATCCTCCCTGCTGACCGTAGTGGTTTCCGTAGCCCATGTAGCTCGAGTAGTAAGCGTTGTTGTAGTAGGGGTGGTTGTTGTAGGGGTAGCTTTGTTGGCCGTGAGACTGAGGCTGCGAGGCCTGGCTGGCGGCCTGCTGGCTCTGGGCGGTGGGGTTCGGGGTGCTGTGTCCGCTGTTCTGGGCGTCGTTCGTGACACCTCCGTAACGGGACTGGTTCTGCAGACCGCCGCTCTGGGGGTACTGGCTCAAGTTATCAGCCTGCGAAGCATTGTAACCACCGAAAGATCTCTGCTGGGAAGACAGGTTGTCCTGGTGACCCTGAGCTCCCTGCTGGCCGTAGGGCTGGCTGTAGTAGTTGTAAGGGGGACGGTTTTGTTGGTCCGCCGTGTAGTAGGAGGAGTAGTCGCTGGGAGCAGAGCTGAAGGCTCCACCGGGTTGCTGGCTCTGTTGCGATTGCTGGTTGGAGAAGCTGTCGAACTGAGTCTGCGAGGCAGCGGGGTTGTTCGACTGAGTGAAAGGATCGATCGACTTTTGGGGGAAGGACGAGGGCTCCTGGGGGCCAGCCTGGCCGAAGCGGGAGTAAGGCTGGGCGGCGGCAGCGGCAGGTTGAGGGACTAAAACATTTGTCAGTTTTTGTAAACAGGTAAGAATACGTGACTCTGGCATGGAGGGGGACATACCCTGACCGGCGGGAGCCTGGGGAGCAGCGCTTGCGGGTCCTGAGAAGGGGGCATTAGCAAAGTCGGTGACATTGCTAGTTGAAGCAAGTGTACCGGTAGGAGTGGCAGCAGCAGCAGGAGGAGGCAGGCCAGGAGCAGGCTTCTGAGTACCGATGGCTTCGGGAACGGGAGCCTGCTGAGGAGCGGGAGGAAGAGAGGTTCGGGGGTGAGCGACGGGAGAATCAGCGGGAGGCTGAGTCCGGGTCTCGGGCTCTTCGCGATCACCGTCAATGTCATCATCCTCGTTCAAGCTGAAAGCACCGAACTGGACGGCAGCGCGGTCAACCTCACGGTTGCCAGGCATGCGGACGGCCTCCTCCTGATCAAGAACGCGACGCTGGTAGCTCGGGGTGCGGGATCCTCTCTCGGTGGTGGCCTTGATGGCGGAAGCGGCGAAGCCGCTGTTAGTAGTGGGAACAGCAGGGCGGATGGGCTGGTGCTGCTGCTGGGAGGCAGACAGAGGTGTCGCGGTGGCGCTGGCGGCGTTGTGGCGAGGATCCCAGGAATCGGCGGCGGTGCTTGCGACGGTAGCAGTCGCGGGAGGATGCGATTCGTCGACTACCTGTTCAAGATTCGTCTCAGTAAGTTGGTCCTTGGAAGGCGGCAAAACCACTTCAGGTTCGATGACGGTTGGTACTTCTGCAGGAGCTGGTTCTTCATGGGCGGGTTCTACAGGGAGTTCGACGGGGGCAGCAGGCTCAGGCTGTGCCTCGGGTTCGGGCTCAGGTTCGGGTGTAGGTTCGACGGCAGGGACGGCAGGAGGGAGAGGTTCGATGGGTTCGGCAGGTTTGGGCGCGGGCTCCTCCTTGGGCGGCTTCGGGGCAACCTTGGGCACGGTGGATTGACGGAGCATGCTAGCCCACGTCTTGGGAGCGGCAGCGGCAGGCTTGGGCGCGTCGGTGGAAGCGGCGGCGGCCGCAGGAGTAGGAGCGGGAGCTGCAGGCTTCTCGGTCGTCTCCTTGGGTGCCCAGGGGTCCTCGGCGGGTGCGTCCTTAACGTCTAGCTTCGGGGTATCCCATGCGTTCGACTCCTCGGTAGGAACAGAGAGCGGTTGAGCATTCTCCTTGTTATGGCGAGAGCCATTAGTAGCTACTGTGTTTGAGGCCCTGCCCCGGCCACCGCGACCTCCTCTCTCAGCAGTTCTTCCGCGACCGCGACCAGCCTCAGAGACGTTGCGTCCGCCACGAGTGGGTCTAGCGTTGGATGAGTCGATGTTCGAGGCTGCGGTCGTGGAGTCCTTGGCCTTGGAGCGGGGAGCCTTCTTCGTGACTTCGCCCCATTGGGAGATGGTGCCTAGAAGCAAGAATCTTTGATTAGCTGAGAGCACACAAGCGATGCGTTTGAGCAGCGGTTGAGGGGAAAGAGGGAAGGGAATTGATGGATTGTTGATTCGTCGCGCGGGAGAGAGTTTGGCTGGCAGCCTGACGAGGCAGGAGCCGTGCGCTCACATACCTTCAGCAATGCGGGTGACGGTGAGGTTCTCATCACCATCCGTCTCTTGAAGAGCATAGAGAATATCCTGCTCAGACCAATCGGGGAAGAGCTCCTTGATGAGGGGCGCCTTGGATCCGTATTGTTTCTTCAGCTCGCCGAGCTCGCCTTGGTCCTCAAACGCATCGTCGGCGTTGGAGTCAAACTTGTCGCCATTGGTTCTGCCCGAGGTGCGACCACCTCGGCTGGCGAAACCACCTCTTCCACCGCGTGCAGAGCCTCTGCCGCGCGAGGCGGCAGGCCGAGTCTGTACCTCAGACATTGCTGGGTTTGTTTGTATGAGGGGAGGGGTTTTCCACGATGGGAAAATTGGAGGGAATCAATTATTCACTGTCCCGTATCGACACGACAGCTTTGGTGGGGGTTTCTTCAGTTGCGTAACTCTTGCCGATGAAGAGGAAGAAAAAAAATAGGTAGGAAAAGAAAAGGGTGCCGCAAGGTGGGAGAGACGACGTCGTCGTGATCGTGGCTGACGAGACGAGACAAGTGAGGTTTGGGTGGTGGTGGATGTTGGTGGGAGAAAGACGAGGTGTGGATGGTGGATGGAGGTGGAATGTTTGTGCAGAGGCAGACGCAATTGCACTGGGGCACTGGGGGAAAAGTTCAAAGGGAGGTTTTTTGCCCAGGCGCCCAGCAGAGCAGCACACAACCTGGAAACGCAGGAGCAGCCGACCTTTAGGCAAGGTACCTGCTCAGGTACCTGAGGTACGGATACGTAGATAGGTACCTAGGTAGCGAGTGTCTGGCAGCTGGGGTCCCGTCAGATTCGCTGTGGCAGCTGGTCTAGTCACAGTTGGCAGCATCAGCAGCAAAGCCCAGTTGGAGCACGGTCGCTGTAGGGTAAGATACCTTGCCAGCTTAGGTAACCCCAAGGTGAAGTAAGGTAAGGTACCTTAAGGTAAGTACCAAGGTTTCCCGTCAGCTTTCAAGCTGCCCTGTCTGGGCTGGGCCAGGGGACGAGAGTTGGGGGAGCACGGGAGGAGAGGAGAGGTGGGAGGCAGGTGAGATCTGGGAGTACGTACCCACAATACCTCCACGAATTTTGGTGCTTCTTCTCTTTTTTTCTTGCGTTGCTTCCTTCTTGCTGGTGTTGCAGGTGAGATCTGGGAGTACGTACCCACAATACCTCCACGAATTTTGGTGCTTCTTCTCTTTTTTTCTTGCGTTGCTTCCTTCTTGCTGGTGTTGCTTGCTGCGTTGCGTTGCCCCCATTTCTGATCCAGTCAGGCTAAGGTTTTTGGCCTGAGCGACCGGCTGCAGCGAATGACGCCCCCTTCCGTCCGCAAATGGTTAGCGCGTCGCGACTCTAGCGGGGCATTGCAGATCCACTGCCTCTATTGTCGAGCTGAGGCTGCGTACCGATACCTACTTGAACGCAGAGAACACGTGAGCCTTCGAGTATATGGACACGTTTGCAGCAGCTTCGCCATCTTCGAGCAGAGTACCTAAGCTGAGTAGGTAGGTATCTCCACGCTCCTGCCGGTAGGTACCTGACTTAGGGACCTTCTCCTTGGCTGCTGCTGCCTTACCTGCTCAAGTCTTCATGTATCTTTTCCCATTTGTGGAGGGAGAAGATGAGGTAAGAAAGTAAAGCAGTCACGTCGAGTCTTGGACCTCGGATTGAAGGGATAGCTTTGCTCCAGCTCAGCTCACTTGGATTGGCCACGAGGTCCCAAGAGTTTCCCGTACATGAACGTTGAACAAATGCAGCAATTTGTAGTGTAAACAATGAAAGCAATCAATGGAGGCGCCTGGCCAGGTTGCTGATTTTGTTCAAGGAGCGCTGTTCAGTGACAACTAGGTAACAAAGCAAAACCTGGCAGTGCCACAGCCGAGGCCAGGAATGTTGCAAGTCGGGGAGCTCCAAGTAGCTGTTTCTAGAAAAAAGCATCGTCATTTCCGTTCAACTCAATTCGCCGCACGAAACAGTAATCCTAGTTGTTTGCTCTGCCCATCGGCCTCGGCCGAGATCCTCTGTGCGTCAGTGCCTTCTTCGGATTCTACTGTTATATCCTTCAGCTTCACATCACGTCGTTGTGTTCAGATACCTGCCGAAACACGATGGCATTGTCGCGTTATTGCTAGGTATTGCCTCCCGCAACAAGTTCCGTCAAGCTTTCCCCCATGTATTGAGGAGAAAGATACCCTGGTCGACACTTGTGTCATATGTTCTCGGTCACGAGGCTGTATTCGTCACTCAGAGCCACCCATGTTCAATGGCGAGCTGAAGCTTGAATGGAAGGTGATTGGTGTGACTTTCGATGTATGGATAACTAGTCAAGTAATTGCAACAAGCGAGATCTCGGGCGACAGTGGCTGACCGTGGGCGGCCAAGCAAGCTATCCGCTGCCAATGCCTGAATCAAAGACTCTAGATCTTTTCAAGCGTACAAACTACACAGAACTTGCCCTCGCCAGAGAGGAAACAACTTCTCCATCAAGTCTCCTGGCCACTCAGACAGCCAGCCGAGAGCCCGCATTTTGCCCACGCTCTCAGTACGTACCGGATCTCTGCCCTGAGCTTTGGTGTGGAGTGGAGGTCCAGGGCCTCTCTTCATCCTGCCTCAGGTGTCAAGGAGGCCATCTCCGCATTATCCATGTCACATGACCCGTCAGTGGCATGACGGAGGCCCGGCTCGGCAGGCAACCTGACTCCATGGCACCACGATGATGCGTATCTGACCTGCCTTACCACTTCGTACTTCCACCAGACATTCCAAGCACCCCCAGCACATCATCCTTCTCTGGGACCGCCAACTCCGCGCGGAGAGACACCCACTCCGTACTTCCGCACTTCCGGCGAACACCATCGACCACTGCCTAATTTTGCAACAACTTCACGAAAGGCCGTCTGCGCCGACCCTGCTATCTCGATACCTCGAATCCTACGACTTTCACAATGTTCGCCACAAAGCCTCTGAGCTCTATCAAAAATGCCATTCCCTCGATTCACCAGCCGCTACCCCTCTCGTCGAAGCAGTCCAAGAAGCTTCTCAATGTCTTGAAGACTTCCTTCCGCAAAAATCTCGACAAAGAGCATGGCTTCGCCCCCGAGACTACCGACTTGGCCGCGGCCAAGGCTACTTCGTCAACACACTCCCCGTCTCGCCCGACCGACCAACATCTTCGCTCCATTCTCTCCAACCCGCTATTCAAGATTGGCGCTCAACTAGGCAATGTCCCCTCCGCAAGTTCCAGTCCTAGAGATCCGATGGACGTGTTCGATGAGGCAGTATCGCGAGGTATGATGACAAATCGTGCGGCACAAGGCTGTCTGAAGGCGAAACGACTGCAGATTCTCCAATCCAGTACCCTGTCAGTGGAGGACTCAATGGCGGCATCTGCAGCTGGTTTGCGGGTAGTTCAGTGGTTGAGGTCATCTGGCCAGGAACGGAACCTGGAATTTCTCGCCGACGTCGGCCTGAGCCGTGAGCTCCTCACGTTCATGGTTGCAGAGGGGCTGGAGGAGGTTGCGTGGACGTGGGCGGACCGACTGGTTCGCGGCGAAGGACCTGCAGATGGCTCCAGCCAGATTGTGGGATTCTTAGTCGCCAACCTGGTGCGGGCAAAGTCTAGATTGGAGGACCGCAGCCTAGACACGGCATTTTCAACAATGCTAAGAGCGGAAACCACTTGGAAGGCGAATTCTCAACTTCCTCAGATTCTCTGGCAACCTTTCCGCCATCTTTCCTGGGAAGCCACAGTCGATGCGTGGAAGCGACCACTACCCTCCGCGCCGCTATACGAGTCCTTCGCCAGGACCGCTACCTACCAACGGCCCCTGATCAAAACTATCAGACTCGACCGCGCACATTTGGACCTCCATCATCCTACTAACCCAGATCACACGGGGGCCTTGGCTGTGCTCCGTTGGTTTTTGGAGGATCGGGGCACCCTGGAAGGCGACGGCCGTCTACCTAGAAGACTGAGGACAATGGCCATGGATATTGTCACCCATCTCACAAAGATCGGCCGGGCTGAAAGTGCCGATACGGTCCTGCGCCTGTTGCACGATAACTCTTCGACCAACCCGTGGCAGCAGCCCGGGCCACTGAATGTGTGAGCCATATGAGAGGCTTTGTCTTTCAAGCTCACACCAACACATCTACCAGCACACTCGGCATCACTCCTGCCGCCGTCGTCTTGGTAGGGAGACCGGATCACGCCACATGCCAAGTTGTCGTTGATCTGACAATCTCTTCTCACACAGGGCCTGCCTGACAAAATCCAGAGCCGCGCCATCGTCGGTCGCCGAAGAATCGACGCTGCTGGCTCTATTAAGAATGGCTCGATACAATCAGGTGGACAGATTAAGTCCGGATTGGGGACCACACCAATTTCTGCAATTGCCGGCCAAATATCCATGAGAAGTGTCGTAATCAACCTACGACTGGATGTAGCAAGGCTGATGGCTGCTGGCGACAGACCGCCTCTTTTTTAGAATATAGCTTATGAGATACCCGCAAATGAACAATCATTTCAACCCATCACATGTATTACATCTCTTCAAGTTGCCGCTTTAGTGATAAATAGCTTCTCCTGAGTTCAACTTCCGGCCGCCTGCCTATGCGGAAACAACGCATGCGCCGTTTCGACACGGGAGCTCCCTGATGCCAAGTCTTACATGAGGGATGAGATGAACCGACTGGCTGGCTTACTGGCTCGTGCCCAATCACCGTGCAATAGGCCGGATCGAAGTGAAGATGGAGTGCATACATTAGTGCTTACTAGTCGAGAAACTCAATCGATTCATCATCTTGTTGAATAACATCGATTCTGTCCCATAACTCAATAACTGATATAAACCTTGCTTTGCGTGACTGTACAGAAACTCCACGAGAACGCCACAGAAGAGAAGCAACCAACCCGGCCACCTCTTCCATACCAGCCGTATGGAAGGATTGCACAATTTTCCTGTTTACCCTTCAGTCCTCCTCTTTATCTACCTTATTCCAGAGATACAAATTCCCCTTCCTCAGTCCAGAACCCCTCAAGCCTTCCTCGCGACCTTGACCACAATCTTACCAGCCGCCGACCCCTCCTTGAGCTTCTCATACGCCTTGGCAGCATCCTCAAACTCGTACGTCGAATCAACCACAGTCTTGACCTTACCCTCCGCCATCCACGCCGCAATCTGCGCCAGGTCCGCGTGCACGTTCTTCGTCATGAACGCCTCAAACTTGTGCTTCGCGCCGCCGAGGAACCCCGGCAGAAACATGCTCGGCACGAGGCTGCTCACCTGCGCAAACGACACCGCACCGCCGACGAACTTGAAGTGGCCCCCCTCGAGCAGGAAATCGTCAGACGCCTTGTACAGGTTCGGCGGCGAGTTTCCGACATTGTCGACGACGACGGCGAAGACCTTGCCTTTGGCGCGGAGGGTCGAGACGACGTCCGAGGTCTTGTAGTCGATGATCTCGTCGGCGCCGAGGGATTTGCAGAGGGACGCTTTGCCGGTGGAGCACGAGACCGTGACGGTGCAGCCGAGCGCCTTGGCGATCTGGATACCAAACGTCCCCGTGCCGCCCGAGCCGCCGTTGATGAAGACGTGGTCGCCCGCCTTGACGTACGGCGCGATGGTCTGGTACGCCGTCAGGCCCGCCGTGCCTACCGCGCCGGCCTGCTCCAAACTCTCCGCGGCCCCGGATCCGTGGGGGAAGGCGGCTACGCCGTCGCGCTCGGCGACGAGGTACTCGCTCAGGGAGCCGTGGGTTCCCAGGGGATCGACGCGGCCGACGACGAGGTCGCCCGGGGCGATGTCGGTGATTTCGGAGCCGACGGCGACGGCGCGGCCGGAGAAGTCCATGCCTGGGCAGCGGGGGAAGGAGACCATTGCTTTTGCGACGAGGCCTAGGTCCGGGAGCTTGTAGTCTGCTGGGTTGATGCCCGCCGCGACGACCTGGACGAGGACTTGGGTTGGTTTGAGAGTCGTGGCGGACGGGGTTGGGACGGTTGTCAGGGCGAGGTCTTTGATGAAGGCGCCTGGGGCGGGGATTTGCCAGCGGCGCATTTCGGTGGGTGGTTGTTGGGTCATTGTGAGTGATGTTTGTAGTTCGTGGTGCACTATGGGTTTGGGTTGAGGTTCAGGCTGTCTGCTGATGAGATGGAGATGGGTAGAGTGAGGTGAAGTGTGAGGTTGCGAAGTTGTGAATATGGATATGAGTTTGAGTGTGGGAGAGAAGAGGTCTAGATAAGGCAGCTCAAGCTTCCTCCCCGCGGAAGCGCCCCGGTCATGATATTAACTTTGACAGACGGTCATTGCTTCCCAAGGTGGGGTGACGGCCACTGACGAAATCAAAAAGTCAACCGGGCAGCGCAGGCCGGGGAATGCGGGAACCATCCCCCCCTCGCCAACCATCAGTCATCAGTTCATAACTCTCTTCCCTCCCTCTCACCGGGGGGGAATGGCAACCTAGCACAAGCACGGCCACACCGCACCCGATAAGTCAAATGGCGTCACGACTCGGCTTGCCCCGATCCGGCTTGTTCGCTCCGATCATTCTCCCGGAGACCCCGATCAGACCACGGGAACTCGGAGACTGGTTCAGACGTCAAAGTCCAATCCGCATGAATCCTAAAGGTTGATATGAAGTGATGCTCCACCTCGTTGGCGCTGCCGATTGGAAGAAGCGGGCGAGCAAGAAAAAAAATTCCTGCAGTCGAATTTTTCTAGAAGAAAGTGGGTTTTTATGTGGCAGCTATGGCAACCAGTGCATGGCATGAAGTATCGGTCCTGGCATTTCTCAAGGATGCGACATACTAACTTATGCAGAGCAGTTACTATAGCAAGGAGCTAAGAACTTGGAAATACAATTAGCCGAGGCTCTATTGACTTGTGAATATTGAGCATTCTGAGGTAAAACGCATGTTAGAAGGGCGGTGGCTGAAGAGTCGATGAAGATAGTCACTCCACCATTCCGACCTATCAGAGTATCGAGGATTCAGCGCTGCATTGATTGGATGCGCCAATCCGGCGGATCACCCCACTGTCAACGACAAGAGTCTCGATACGGTCCAGGAAAATCATTTAGTAATGACCTTGTTCCGCTTCACATCTAAGACTGAAGCAGGCTGGCTCATTAGATCTTTCTGCCGAAGCTTTCCTTGACAGTACTTAGAAGCTAGGCTCAACGGGTGTTCAGTGCCGTTGTGGATAATCTTTCACCTTCCACATCGACCTTGCTTGGAATCAAGGATATCAGGCTATTGGAACTGGTCATAGAGTATAAGCCATCGCAATTATAGTACGGTAGGATGGAACGTCATTATGTCAACGATATCTTCCATTGTATAGTATGAGAGCCAAGTCCTCTTGCCTAAGTACCTGGAAGCATACGACTTAGCGTCCCATTTCGTATAGAAAGGTCGAATGTATAGTTCTGTCCTCCTCAAATCCTAAAATCATGACTTGACTGGTATCTTTATTTTCCTCATCAAGCAACCCAAAAACGCCAAATGACAGTCCAATACGTGGCGCATGTTACGCAGCCTGTCCCGGGGTACCTTGAACGCTCTTCTTTCGTCGATGTTGTAAGCCCAGGTAATGCTTCCGCCAAAGCAACACAATCAGCTCAATCCTTGCCGCAATTATCAGCACCGCGATTCAGCTTATCGTTGGAGGCATCCTCGCCCGAAACAACAAGAAAAACACTGCTCTTCATTCTCGTTCGTTTTTACCCTCGTCCTTCCCTGGACTGGAAATCTCCACAGCACTTATACCTAGGCGCACCACGTAGACGCCCAGCGACCGAGCTCATTCGGCCCACAGATCCTCTCCATGTCATCCTCCCTCAGAGCAAGCAGGACCTCCCAAGGGGCATCGCCCTTGGTAATCCCACGACGCTGCATGATATTCATGCTGCCGTCGTTGGCAGACCACGTCTTGCGCACGTAGTCAGCCCTCCCCCCCGTACCCGGGATGCCAAAGTCCACATCCGCGCCCATGTGCGTCCAGACGCTGCAGCCAAGCCCAGCGTGGCCGGGCTGGAGGGCCTTCGTAAAAGCTTTGCCTTCCATCGTGGGGTCAGGAAGGGAGGCGGCGAGCGCGATCCGGGCGGGGATGTAGCCTGGCGTGCTCGCCTTGCTGACGGCCTGGCGAACACGCCAGGAGGCGTCGAGGATGGCGGGCACGGCGTCGCAGGGGAGGGTGCCGGAGCTAGAGGTTTGGATTAACTCCCCTACCGGTATCTGGCCAGTGGTGGTCTGTGTGTATACGTTGCCCCATGCCCCGGGGGAGAAGGGAGGGAATAGACGGGGGCGGGCATCTGCGGCGGTGGTGAAGGAGGTGTGGTCCTGCTCCGAGAGGTGGGCGAAGCGGGATCTGGTGACGTGGACCCAGATCATGGCGGAGAGGGTGTCTGCCTTTGAGACAAAGGCTTTCTCACCGTGCTTTCTACGTAGATGGGCGAGGGCTTCGCTATGGACTTCGGAGAGTGTCTCATTCGGGATGCTGAAGAGTACGCAGACTGCTTTGGGGGCCTTCTCTGAAATGCTGTGGGTGCTGGTGAAGGTGTCGTTGGGGGTGAAGTCGTACTCTGGGAACATGGCCTTTGAGATATTGGTGGAGATATAAGGGGACATGAGCGGGCGTTCAATTGCCTCGTCAAGAAAGGCAAGCTCAGGGTATTCATCATGGCCCTGGCCAAAATACTCAAGAAACGCCTTGATGAAGCCGCCGTCAAAGATGGCGTGATGAGTAGAAAAGCAAACAAAGAGGCCGCCTCCAGAAAGCTCTGTAATCTTTAATGTAACAGGAGGGCAGGATTCACCCGGCTTTGGGTGGTTGGGAGAGAGAGACAGGATATCCTTGTCCATGAATGAAGGAGGCATTCCACGCTTCTTAAGACTTTGGTAGTCGAGACCTCCGAGTTGCTCAACTGAGCTATATGCAAAGATGTCTGGCCGCTGATCCATGTTGATCTGGGGATAAAGCAGATCGTAGGTGAGCTCCAATTCATTGGGTCGACGACTGTTGCTGGCTGGGCCAATGTGACCTGACAAGAAGGGCCAGCGGGCAAGAGCAGTCCCGAAGCGAAGCTTGAGATGGGCAATTGTCTCCTCGGTGTACTTCTCATCCTGGTCAAAGACGAAGATCGATCGCACGTAGATTCGTGGGGCGATTTGGTCCAAGGGACCGAGCTCAAAGGTATCGAGAACGGTACTGCTACCCATTATGAATATTGGTGACGAGTATGGGGAAGTGTTGTTGGTATAAGTGTAAGTGAGCTGTTTGAGACAGAAGGAGCAGGTGTATACCAAAGCTCACGAGGCTCGTGAGAGAAATCTTAACGTCGCAGAGAATTGGGTGAAGCTAACGTGGACTGCGAGTAAAGGTACCTATTGAGAGGAAAAGACGAGCTGTTGCCCTCAAAAATGGCCACCTTTAACTATAGTCTGAAGAAGGTGTCTCCGGCTACTGTGCGACTGGGAATGGAGATACCTTTCGCGTTATGCGAAGCTGGGTAAAGTTGAAGTTTAATTCAGCGGATATACAGGTCCTGCCCTTTCTCGGAGATAGGTTGCTCTCGCAGGGCTCGTAGCTTTCCTAACAGATGCTTTGGCGCCGTTCTTCAAAATCAGGAAGCTATCACTGTGGCGAGGTAACTTGCTTAGCCACTGGTCTACCTTGGTAAGTTTGTCTTCTTGGGGCCCGTGGTTGATCTCGTGAGTTTATGAAGAAATGATTCGATGAGTGAAATATGAAGTCGAAGCATGTGTTCACTGAGGTTTAAGGAGACATGTCCTCGGAATCCCTCCGGCTAAGGCCTGTAGATGTTCGAAAACAGATGTATTATCTTTTGTAACTTGTTGTTCATTCCGTTGGAAAATCAACTTAGATTGGCTCATTTCGAGAACTGAAAGTATGATAGAAACCATAATAGGAGGGAATTCAGCTTGAATTAGAGTCAAGATCAACATGAAAGCACTGTGTTGAATTGGACAATGAAAGCTTCAATGTCATTGTATGTTCAATCCTTGTTCCTCAAAGAAAAGCAATATCAGCCCATTGTGGATTGTTTGATTGGGAGAGCTCTGAACACAAATGATGAGTCTCAACAGTTCCAGCGGCAGTTGCGACCTTTATTCTGAAACATATAAATGAAAGAAGAAAATTGAATGCCGTTATGGACGCAGCGTCCGTGAAACAAGGACGAGTCTAGTCCGTAGGAACGGTTGATTCGACCTCACTAGCATCTGGCGAAGTCCTGATCGTTTGATCAAGACTATGCCGGTCTCGAGAGGTATCTTGAGGCATTTGCGAGAGAATGTTTTGGCAGTGTGAGTCACCTTGGTCAAAGTTAATTTGCCATACAATATTTCAGCTCTATGACAGAACACTGCAAATACGCAGCCCTTTCAACGTGTACTTATATCAAGTTCCTGGTGCCTTAAAATATCTTGTAGCTTTATACTTGGTATCTGCTCACTCTTATTCCTCGTAGCCTCATATGTTTGGGAATATCGCCTACTTTTTCTTCACACTAGTTTCCTCAATAGAAACGGACTTATTAAGCTGGTGAAAACTCATCTACCGTAAAGATGAAGTTTGGCCAAACTCAATAAACGACCTGACGGTAGGTAATATCAAGTGAAGTCCCACAATCTTTGTATCAACACAGTGTACTTTACCCAGCTTTGCTGGAGCTTTTATTTCGAACCTTCCACAAGAAGCAACCCACGACCATGAAAGCTCATGATTGGCACAATCTGTGCATTCAACGATGGATGAGTTCAGGATGTGACACATGAAGTACCTGTTATGAATATTATTTTGTTATGCAAACCTAACGTAAGGTATAAGAAAACAGACGTTTGTATTTGGCTATGACTTCTCTTCACTCGAGACTTCTGCCAAGCGATATAACTTTCTCCCCATGAGTCCTCAGGTTATTAAGGTACACCAACCCATCGTGCTCAAAGCTGCATTGCCAAACTACTGGCACCTGGGATAAGAGCTCCCACAATCAGGTGTGAGAAAACCACGATTGATTCCCGGAGGGCAGTACTCAAACTCCATGCAGTCTCCCGATGACAAAGTGCAATGCTCCCCGTTGAATCTCTGGCCTTCGGGACATTGCGGCAAGGTCTGACCCACGCATTCCTTGGAATCAGCATCCCATGTAGTGTTGGTGGGACAGACAGGTTCCTGCTCAGATTCGCAAATCTTGCCGTTGAAGTGAGTGCCCGGAGGGCAACTAGGTTCCACGGTGGCCGCACACCGCTCTCCGTCAAACTCTGTTCCAGGCTCACAGCTCGGAGTGTCACCGACGCAGACGGTTCCGTTGAAATGAGTGCCCAAGTCACACTCTGGTGTCTCATCGGAAATACACTCCTCCCCACTGAGGATGTATCCAGGAGGGCAGGCCTTCTCCTCGGTATCCTGGCATCGTCCGCCACGCCACTGGTGACTGGGCGGGCAATCCGGCGGGTCGATGGTGACGCAGGTGGTACCTTTCAAGATGAGGCCTTTTGGACAGGTAGGCGGGCCTCTGATACACTCGCCGCCAACAAGCGTCGTATCCTCGGGGCAGACCGGGCTTTGCCCGGTGACACATGCTCCGTCGCTCAGAGACGACCCCTTGGGACATGTAGGCGGAGTGATTGATACGCAGCGTGAACCGTCGTAGATGGTGTTTTCAGGGCAGCTTGGAGGGGGACCCCCTACTCGGGTACAGTCAGCACCGTCGAAGTGGCTGCCGTCTTCACATTCTGGCCGTCCACTGACAGCGCAGTCTCTTCCATTAAAGGTGGTTCCAGAGGGGCAAGAGGGTGGCTGAATGCTGATACACTCGTCACCCTGGACGTGAGTTTCCTCGGGGCAGACAGCTTCGCCCTTGTGGACGCAGTTCCCGTTGGATAGTGTCGTGCCATCAGGGCAGATGGGTGGCTCTACGGAGATACAAGTGGTTCCATCGCGAGCTGAGCCAGGAGGACATCCCGGCGGTGTTATAGAGATGCATCGGGCGCAGTCCAGCTTGAATCCGGGAGGACATGATGGGGGAAAGACCGTGATAGCCGTGCATCTGTTGCCGACCTGTTTCGTTCCTGGCGGGCATCCTTCAGGAGGGACTTTGTATGAGCAGATGTCTCCGTCCCACCTTAGGGGAGGTGGGCAACACCGTGAAGTGCCTGAAGCCTGGTCGGCAGACAACTCCGTCCCAGGTGAGCAGGCAGGTTTGTCTTGGGAAACACATTTCGTGTCTTCTAGGGTATCGCCAGGGGGACACGATGGCGGTGTCTTCATGATGCAGGTGTTTCTCTTAACGCTGAACCTTGTTCCGATTGGGCATTCGGGGCCACCATCAGTGATGCAGTTGCCTCCTTTGGAGAAAGTGCCCACTGGACATTGAGGAGGCTCACGATGGCTGCAAACGTTGTTGACCTCGTCGTATTCACTGCCGGCGGGACAACTGGGTGGTACGATACTGATGCATACTCCATCGGAAAGATTCGTGCCGTCAGGACATACTGGTGGGGTGGAACTGACGCAACCTTTGCCGTTAAACCGATCGCCATTGCCGCAGATGGGCAACTTGGTCGAGATGCAGATTTTGCCGGTCAACTCTGTGCCAGAAGGACATTTTGGTGGAATTTCCAAAACACAAGCTTTGTCTTTCAGGATCGACGGGGAAGGGCAAGATGGTGGAGTGCTCGTGATGCAAACAAGCCCATTGAAGGTCTCACCATCCCGGCAGACGGGGCCAGTGATAGAGATGCAGTGGCTACCTCTCAGTTTTGTGCCGTCTGGGCATCTTGGAACGCCAAGGACGCAAGAGTTGCCATCGAATAAGGTCCCTTCCGGGCAACACTTGACGCGGCCGGACTCTGGGTCGGTGTGAGGCTTGATTGCGTCCAAAGTCCATTTGTTGCGGACTGCCGACCCAAGTGGTATTTGGTCAGCTACTGCCTGGAGGGCAAAGAGAAAAGAAACGAGGCCCGCTTGGAAAGTGACCATTGTAATAGAATTTGAGAAGGTTCAACACTGGAGCTTGATAGATGCTTGTGAAGGATAGTCAAAGAGTGGTGTTGATTGCGTGACACTCTTTTTATACATGTCGTGGAATGAGACGATATCGAGAGCTTCAAGAAAGGCGGGGGATTGTATCTGTCAGGACCAGCAAGCCGCCCGCATAGCTATGTTCTCAACTTCCTTTACAAAAGTTGAGGAGTAAACCGGCGCATGCCTCTTGCAAAATGTACGTCATGATCCGCAATCTTTCTCATCTTGGCCTGCCTATTGTCCGCAAACGTTACGTGGTTTTCTACTGCTGAGAAGGGCTGTCGTGAACGTGATTTCCAAGAGTTGACCCCTTTTCGAGACCAACGCCCAGTTGAATAAGATGTTTGGAGCTAGAGAGACGCAGTGTAAAGGCAAGAAACAACTCCTCTAAGTCTCCTCTATGCTAAGCTGGAAATCGAAGGCCCTTAGAGTCTAAGACCAATAAGCCACAATCTTACTGCATGGAGGTTGTGAAAGAATTTGCTTTTGTGGAACATGATCAAATGCATTCGGTATCAAACACGACTGGGCTTCAACATCGCTAATCCAATGGGATAACTTGCTAATCGGGTGGGTTCAATAGCCTTGCCATGTCGATCTTCAGCGTCGCTTCCGAGAAGACGATAAAAGTCGGAGTTCCTTCCGTCAAACACGATTCGTTGAGAAAATGGTCAAAATTGCTATGAAAAAACTGGCTTGTCCGCTATGGCAGTGGTTGTGCGGGCAAGACACTTTTGTCGGGTAGATCAGCTATGTCGATAAGGGATCTACCGAGACTTGACTCTTCGAGCAGGTCCCAACAGTGCCTACGGCCGTATTTCAAGCTCTTTGGGCCAAACATTACATGATGAACTTGGTCTAGTTTGGTTTACCATTTCGCAACGTCTAAGATCTAACAATGTTTGCAGAGCGTGGCAGACATCCAGCATTCTCATTGGCAGTTGCTTCTGTTCGACGTTGTTCCAAGCCATGGATTTGGTTCAAAGATCTCGGGAGATTCGCCGATGGAATGTCTCTCAAGCAGCCGCGTAGATAGTAGATCCTTTCTGGGAGCGTATGATATCGCCGGTTTGGAACCAAGCTGCGGGGTACTTTGAGACAACGTTAAGGAACGGGACGATCCAGTTGCCCGGCTATCGATTTGAACTAACCGCATGCCTCACGAATCACTGCCCACCTCAGACAGCTCTTAGGTCCCCGACAAGTCATCTCTGAGACAGCAAGGCCACCTTTCAGCGAATTAGCTTGTACGGACGACGGGGAGAGCCTTACTCGCTCAAGAGCCATAGTTCGCAGGAGCTCTCAGTGGAATTCCGGAAACGACAGACTCAAAACCCTCAATCTTTCAGTGACATCATCTTGGGTGCGTTTAACGATATCAATGCTCTATCAACTTCCGGATGTGGATTCAAGTTTCTCGAATAATGATTTTGTAACTCACGCATGAAGCTAAAGCTTCCGTTCTATCATGTAGGCTTCAGATGTGCCAGCTGGTCGGACAGTCGGACATTTCGGAATTAAAGTTATGCTGGGATGGCGATCATAACTCAACGCAAACTATCATGGCGTTTGAGAATCCGTCTCGATGAGGAGCCTGTCATGGATCCAGTAAGACTAACTGTATTGGCTGCATTCATAATTCCATTGCTGTGGCGGCCTGCCAAACGATCAGTCTATTATTCTCAATGATAACCAATCAGAGGTTTGATACCTCGATTATCACTGAAGTTGGTCTAAGAAATTGGTAAGACAAAAAGCAATTTCCAATGTAGTGTAATACATGGTGATGCGCCCATTTAGTTGGTTTCTTCGAACACGAACTTGGCACGTGAGAAGCCGATCTATCTCTCCGAATGGATATTGCTGTGTCTTTAGATCGTAAAGAACTTTATGTTCATTAGGTGACTCACGAGTGTCGCTGTGAATAAGCACGTTTGATATTGTTTCCAAAAGAATAAATTCGACCGCTTGTACAGACCCTTTGGAGACCTCTTCACACGCACTCACAAATCCGTTTTATTGTCTTCGGCTTAACTTACTAAGGTCGACAAGACCCTACTTAATCCCAACCACTTCTGTTATATGTTCCGTTACTATGCACCTATCTTTGGTCACACTCATCCTTGCTCCAAGCATCATCGGGGTCTTGGCAGCAGACCAGGCACCTCTCATCAGCGACGACGGCAGTTGTCTTTCGTCCCCAAGCTACAAGTCGTGCTGCCCAACGCAGAATTCTTCCGGAAAAGGCGGTATCAGCGTTAGCACTTTCGAATACACTTGCGGTTCCTGGCCATCTGGCGCTGTCAAGCACGCGGACAAGTCACTTACGCCTGCGCATTGCGCAGAAGTATGCGCACAGGATCCGCAATGCGTCGCAGGAGCCTGGTCTTCGGGGGCTTGCTACATAACTAAAGACCCCACCTACAAGCGCTACGGTCCTGGTGTCCAATCCATCATTCTACTCGTGAAGACGGATGATGCTTTTGAAGGGAGCACATCAGGCGGGAGTGGCCGCCAGAATGCAGCCGAATGCGAGAAAGAAAAAGACGCCATCCAGAGCCAGATGGCATCTCAATGCGACAGCGAGAAACAAAAGCTTCAGACTGGCTGTAAAGATGATGTCCGGACGGCGGAAGAGAGTTGCAATCAGGAAAAGACGGCACTTGAGACGAAGGCGGCCACGCTTGCACGGGAGAAAACGCTGTGCGAGGCCGATAAGGCACGAGAGCTTACCGTTGCCAAGGCGCAATGTGATGCCGAAAGGTCTCGAGAGCTTACCGATGCTAGAACGCAATGCGATGCAGAAAAGTCTCGAGAGCTCACCGATGCTAAAACGCAGTGTGATGCCTCGAAGTCTGCCATCGAAAAGCAACTACAACAATGCCAAATTCAACAGGGCCAGGGTCAGAGCAACCAGCAAGGGTCTTCCCAGGAAGCTGAGTGCAAGACCACGTCATGGCAAGCCATGTGTGGCAGTAGGCAATGCGCGGATAGATTCTCCATCGAAGGCGTCGAGTATGAGCGAAGGTGCGGTGTGGCCACAACGAACACGAGGCAGAAGGTAATCTCGACCGCTGTTTACCGCACGCCGTGGGACTGTTTGAAGTCTGAGTGCAACGGAGTTCCGAATTGCATGGGCATCGGTTGGACTAATGCGTTTGTAAGTCTCCCGTTCTGTTCCAGATCCATCATTGCCAAACTTGAACTTGGAAGTACGCGTTTGCTAACGGTTCTGGATGTGAAATAGAATCTGTGTCACGTTCACCTGCATGCGAACACTGTAGGAAAGGTCCTCAAGCCTGTCGGTTCACACCATGCTCTATTCAAGGTGGACTGGAAACAGCCATTCTAAGGAGAGATTAATATTTCGAGGAAATCGTGGAGGTCATACCCTATGGGCAATAGGTGATGGCAGCATCCAGCCAGAGTAGCCAGAATCCCTAAGGCCATACAGACTGTTGAAGATAGCGATCAAAGGTTTCTTTTCATCACCATGATTATTCCTTCCAGTATAATAAATCAATTGTCTGGGTATGGGCATGTTTTATGCTGAATATGGACGATCATGCATCTTATTGATGTATCTGGTTGCCGTCAACATATCAAAGCTGATTCATTGATGTGCCAAGGTAGGCCACGTAAGCCTAGGTAAATGACAACAAAGACTGAACAACAGCTGCCAGATGAAAAGGCTGTCGTTACATTGACCTCATTCTGTTCGTGAAGGCGATTCATTCTTCCCCCTCAAGTACACAACTAAGCAGGGCTGTACCGAGTCGGAAGCAGGTTTCTAGAAGTTGTCTACCATAACGCCGCGCAACAAGGAATCTTCAAATCCAACTTGGCCATTCCAAACGCTTCAAATCGAGTTTTTGTCATGTTGAAAAATCACGGTGTTGTAGCATCAGGTTTGGCACCTGGTAGCATCATACGAAACGTCCAGCCCTGAGCTTCATAGACCTCACGCGTGACCTTCTTAAGCCAAACGGTCGGTACAATGGGAAGCCAAAACTCGCACGTCTCAGTCTTGAGTATCTCCAATCCCGCAGCCCAAGATGCCGAGGCGCCAACTGCATCGCCGGCGGCAAGCTGCGCGTGAGCTAAGGACAAATGTATCGTCGCCGCCGTGAAGCCAGCTTCGGCTTTGAGGGCGTGCATACGCTGAATCTCTGACAGGGCGTATCTCCATCGTGTTACGGCGACGTTCTTATCTGACCTGAAGTGGGCTATCCGAGCTACAGCGAGGACAGCGCGCATGTGTAGCTGCTGATCAAAGAGCGTGTCTATACCAATTGGAGTGGCATGTTGTGTCTCGAGCTCTCTGAGTAGTAATTCTGCTGCGTCGAAGTTTCCGAGTCCGATATTGAACTCTGCCGATGAAAGTAGTAGACGCGGATAGGCCCTACGTGAAAGTTCGGGCTTGTTCGAGCTACTCAGCTCTGGCCGGAGAATCTCGGCCGCTTTGGAGTATTCTTCCATCTCGCAATACATGTCTGCAAGTCTGCTCACCAATAGTCGGCGTGTGTTTCCCCGCAGCGGTTTGGTCATGTCAAGGGAGAGAGTCTGTTCGAGGGAAGCCCTGGCGGCGGCAAAATTCCCGATGGATTGGAAGAAACGCGCTGCTGTGCTCTGGAGTCGAAATGTCACCTCGGTATCCAGAGTTGACAGCGGTAATTCTGCCTTCCATTCGTAGATGAGCAGGGAGACGTCATCGTCAGTGCACTTGATCTTGTTCTCCATCTGAGATATGTGAAGCCGTCCATGGAGTGAGTGGTCCCGCCGGGTAACGGGTCGCGGGCCACGCCATACAAAGTCGCGTATATGGGCCTCTGACTTTGTGAATTCTCCATCATTGCGGTAAAGAACGCTGCGGAAGAGCACGACGGTAGCGTGAAGATAGTAAGGCATAGACTTTCGCAACAATGATCTAGCCCTGTCCACAGCAACATGGCGCATGGCAACCGAATCCCTTTCGCAGAAGAAAAGAATAGCCTCGAGGACTTGTGTTCTAAGTGGCGTTGGGACTTTGTACGCTCTAGTCGTCTTCTCAACGATAGGCCAGGCAGCCAATTTGAGTGGTTCAGACCTGGATGATCAGATGTCAGCAGGGAAGTCCCCATGTCAGGTGTCATCGGTCAGAATTAGGCCATACCAGTCCGTATTGCCCTCGTAACATGGTGGACAAACAAAGCAAAGCACCTTCAGAGCGACTGTCCCTAGCTCTTCTACAGTCCTTGGCCGTAAGACGCGGGACAGAAAAACAGAAAATTCGGGACATAGCGACAAAGCCAGGGTGTCGTTATCCAACCTGCGTTTGATGATATTAGGGCTCTCTATGGCACATGAATACTCAACATCGTCGGAAATGAGTTTGACAAGCTCGTTTGAAAGCCCAAACTTGTCAGCATCGACAGCATCTATTTCTCCGTCGGCATTCCAACGGCGCTGCGGTCTTCGCACACCCTTCAGAAGGACCTCAGGGATTTCGACTGCGCCGAACGCTTGGAGTAAGAGCAATAGCTGATCCGCTGCCGGTATCAGTTCTGAATAGTCGACAAAAAGATTATAATAAGATGCCTTCAAAGATGGATCTGCGACCGTGGATAAGTATAAGCCCAGGGAGGGAAGACATGAGGCAGCTCACCACGTAGCTGACTTAGAATGAGACGTTGTACTACGTCCGCATGATCCGTGACTTGCGGAGCGAGAGATATTAAATGATTGAAGACTTCCTCATCATCTATGTTTAGGTATCGCTCATAACTTCCCGGCATATGTCAGTTTTGCTGATAACTACATGGGCAGTGCACACTCTTGAGTCTTACGTGGAGGGCGGAATGTCTAAAGGAAGCCAGAGAATCGATCCCAGACCACCCAATTTTCGGGCGATTTGAATATACTTTCTTCCAGAATTGCGAATATCCGCATAGTTTGTCTGTCCGTGAAATGGCTTGGCGATATGTGGTGGAACTGAGGCTTCAGGATCCAACTTGGATCTCAGGAATATTACTATACAAGCCAACCGGCGACGCAGGTCGGCATTGACACGATCGTCAGAGGCTACCCAGAAGCCATCGACATTCTCGCTGAAGACCTCATAAATCTGCTTGACGGGCGCGAGGTCAATGGAATCCACGGACAGGGCCTTGTTCGTCCGCTGGTTGCGTGGCGTGATCTGATACTGCACGTCCCGGGACAGTGCCTTTGACTTTGCCAGGAGTCGGCGGACGTCCTCGAGGTGGCTGTTGAGGGCAGGGATCAACTCTCTAGCTCGCTCTTCGTCATATTGCTTGGATAGAAGCCGAATCGAGCTACAGAGACATATAGAGTTATCCATCGCGCGGCGACTCGGAGCATTCGATGGCGACTTGTGCGAGAGAGGCAATGGCACCCCCCCTTTCATGCAGAATTTGAGCTCCACTCGTGCATCTCGGCTTTGGTCGGATTTGCGGAGAACCGACCCGCACTAGGAGTTATCAATCAACTAACCCTTGACCTCTGCCCACATTTACTGACAGAGACAGTTAGACCGCGATTCATTTAGTTCTTTATCAGCTTATCAGATCATGGCGGATCCCGTGAGTCCGCCGAGCACCGGAAGCATGGCTCGGAGATGCTGCTTCGGAGCACTAAATGCTGAGAATACGATGGACGGGTGAATAGAAATTCCACTTCGAGACTTTTGAAACCTTCAATCTGAGAACTTCCTACATCGTGTACTGACTATTTTGAATGATCAATAATGTAGTTATCTGGTCGCACGCTCCCCAACTTATTCCCCGTTGCAAAATCTTCCCACCATTTTGTTCGAAGTTGTTGAACATTTGTGATATTAGGTGCGCCTCAATCATGATCTATGCCTCGTTCCAAGACTCAGCTAGTCAGTTTCTGTTTCAAATTATCAAACACTAAGTACTCAAAGTACCTCGCTTGGATTTCTCATTCGAGACACGAGGAAAAGGTTTCGCAGTGTCGCGGACCAGAATCGTGAATAAGACCGTCTCGCTAGGGTTGCTTGGAAGCATCTTGGTTTCTTGAGAGTGACAACGGTCCTACAATACAGTTAAGTATCATCATCAATACCCGGCCGTGTAGTTCGAATCAGCCAAGAATGTTCTTCAATATCCACAGTCCTGAATCCTGAGCTGTGATCTCACCCTCGGACCTAAACAGATGATCATTGTCTCATTAATTAGCACACTTTCTCCAACAAGTTGAGCAGGCTAACGCCACAAGCTCACCGAGTCCGATGCCGGTAGTCGATCTGACTTCCCTTCGTTGCGTTGTTCTCCACTTCACCTGCCATAGAGGTGTTCGCTCACCGTGAGAAATCTGCAGCATTTTGCACCCCTGTCGTCTGGGTTTCCACCATCGAGGCTTTTCTCACCGTGAGAGAACGCTCAATGTTAACTACCCTGCAGCTTTGGGGTAACTCAGCTTAGAGATGGGATTTTGTCAGCTGTCAGTGTTCAGACTGGGACTTCCCAAGCTGTCTTACATAGAATGGCCAGCTGGCCAGCTCACGTGTCAAAACATTTGTCTCTCAAGCGACCGCGTGGCATACTGCGTGTGGGCCCTCCGAAAATCTCTTTGGTGGATGATCTTATCAATCTTATCAATCTTCCCCATGTTCATCTTATCAATCAGCGCACATCTCCCGTTTCGTGACTCGATGTGCCTGCGCGTTCGTTCTATCTCGGTCTCACCACATCCATTTCCTCAACCATCCTCACCAACAAGATGGTGCAAGCATTCAAGAGCCCGAAGCAGAAAGCTAACGAGGATACTTTGCATTTCTACGTCGCGTTTCTTTTTGGTCTCGTGTTTTTGACCTTCGTAGCCTATTGGCTGCGCGAGGCTTCCAACAAGAACCCATGTTCTAAACCAGCTCAGGGGCTAAAGGGTCCCGGGCGCCGGGCATGCGTTGACTTCTTCCGGTATGTGGGAACATGCCTTGTCGGCCCAACACTTGGATGCTAATGAGGCTCTTAGAAAGTTGGAGAGACGTGTGGATTGGGGATGGTTTGGAAGGCCCTCTTTCGGGTTCATCGCGATGGTTGGGATCTACATCGTCGTCAACGTCACTTTATGCTCGACCAACATTGTCATGAGGCACCTACTGAATCATTGGGCGTCTAGATTTGGATGGTAACTCTTTCTCACATTTTTCAAGTCTTTTCGCATCGACTAAATTGTTGCAGGATGTGTGCCGCAAACATGACGCTGTGCATCTTTTTCGGAATGAAAAATACACCCTTGACTCCAATGGTGGGAGTATCACATGCACAGCTCAACATCCTACATCGCATCGTGGGATATACTGCCGTTCTGTTGCTAGCTCTGCACGCCATCTTCTACACGATACACTTCCATCGCTATGGCAAGCTGGCTAGCTTGCTGAAACCCGAAGACTTGGCTGGTATCGGCGCCGCGATCGGAATGATCGTGCTGTTCCTCGGCATCCTGAGACACAGGAACTACGAACTCTTCTACATTAGTCACATTGCTGGCTTCGCGGCCGCCGTCATCTTGACGGGGCTGCATCGACCAAACTGGGCAAAGAGAATACCAGCTTTGATGAGTTTTGCATTCGGACTTTGGCTACTAGATCGTACCATCAGAGCCTCCAGGATGCTTTACAATCTCATCAACAACTCTGTCGCCTTCTATCCGCTCCCGGATGGAGGAACACGCCTGCTTCTCAAAAAGCCAGGTCTCCAAACTGCCTCACCAGGGACTCACATCTTCCTCTGGATCCCACGGGTTCATATCTATGAGAATCATCCTTTCACAATCGTCAACAATGGCCCTTCTGGCTTGGAGCTTGTGATGAAATCCCACCAGGGATTTACCAAAGCTGTCACATCCCATCCTCGTTCTACGGCGTGGGCATCGGTCGATGGGCCGTACGGGGTATGTCCCAACATGGATAGCTACGACAAATTAATCTTTATCGCTGGTGGGAGTGGAGCGGCCTTCACGTTTGGCCTCATGAATCGGATCCTTGGACAGTCTGAAAGACCTAAGCTTCAGTCTGTCGAGTTTGTGTGGACTGTCAGACGCACAGGTGAGTTGTATTGCATACTAGTACTTCTTTTTTGGTGCGTTTCTCTAACGTGGCGATAGATCATCTCAAGTGGTTCTCCGAGCATCTCAGCAACCTCATGAAGATGGGACCGGCTGTCAGAGTATCACTCTTTGTCACAAACGAAGAGGCGACATCAAGCTCAATAGCCCCGCCATACGATATTGCTCACGATGTCGAAAGTCAGTTACTGTCTGGAAATAGAACCCCTGGTTATGGAGCCGTATCGAGCTCCGACGATACAAGTAGTCTGCTTGCCCGAACAAACGGCCATGAAGACGAGCAGGCTTATAACCTCCATTCTAGAAGAATGGATATAAAATCGGTTATCAGTGATGCCGTACAGTTTGTTGAGAGTCGCCAAAGAGTTTTGATAGCCACTTGCGGCCCAGAATCGTTGATGGAAGCTGTGAGGGATTCGGCCGAAACTTGGCGGAAGAGGCGAGGCCTTCGAATAGACGTACACTCAGAAGACTTTTAGAACGGGAACTAGAGATTTCAAGCTAGATTTCACATCATGAGCGATAAATGGCAAGCTTCTTTCACTTCGATATAAGACGCTACTACTTGCCAAAAGAGTGACAGGGCAAATCTCACGAGGGGTAAATGAGGCATTCGTCCCAGGAAACCCAAAGCCCCTGCTGTCAGCCGGCGCAATGCCACCCAAGATGCGCCCACTTGTATGCCCATCATAAATGGGTCGCGTTGGGGCGCTTGCATTAGTGCACTTTGCTAGGATTTCAAGGTGTGTGGGGCCAAACTGACGCCGAGCCACGGTCTTGGCGGTTTATCTGATGTACGAACAAAGATTGATAAAACCTGATCCTTTTGCGCCTCCTCGGCGGTAAACTTTTGGCTTTTGCCTGCTCAATTCTCTTGTCTTTTCCCCGTTCTCTCCTAAGCCATTTGAAGCCATTTGTTGCTGCAATTCGCAATGATCTCTAAGGATCCAGTCGAGCGGCCTCTGCCCGTTGCGAATGGCGATGACAACGCCTCCCCAACGCGGTCCGAGACCGACGAGAAGGGCATCGCAGACGCTACAACTTATCCTTCCGATGATGCTGAATCAATCAGAGACTTCCCATGGACGTGGAAGGCTACCGCTCTCGTCTGTGGTGTTGCCCTCTCCTGGGGCTCTCCGAGAACACCCTTGGCCCTCTCAAGAGCACTTTGATCAAGAATTTGGATATCAACAACTCTCAGGTAAGATTTGGAAGTCAAGGTCTTGCATAGAAAGACACATACTGACTCTTTCTAGTACGGAGCTATTTCCTCGGCCACATCGCTCGTGAACACCGTTCTTCCGATTCTTGGGGGTTACGGGCTCGACCACTATGGCGTCGAATGGTAAACTCTTGTCAAAGTTTTCATTCTGTTAGAAGAAAACAAACAGCAAAAGACCTCTTTTTGCTAACATGGTATCAATAGGGGTTCTTTGGCGTGCTCAGTAGCAATTTTCATCGGCGCGGTGATATCGGCGGCTGGCTCCAACCAGGATTCATTTGCTCTAGTAGTCGCTGGCCGAGTAATCATGGGTTTCGGCAGCACTGTTATCGAGACATGCACATCTAAGGTCAGTTTTGCTTGAGTACTATGACGTTGTCAAACTTCAATCAAGAACCTGGCTAACGACGGTTGAAGATCTTGGCCCATTGGTTCCAGCACAAGGGACTCGGTTTGGTGTACGGCTTAGATCTGTCGATCGGTACGTGTCTGCTATTACATGTGCCGACATGATGCTTCAGAGACACATATACTGATGTTTGGTCTGAATTCAGGAAAACTCATCGTCCTCATTGCGAAAGCCACCGCGGTCCCGATGCGAGACGCTACTTCATTCTGGGGCTGGGCGCTCTGGATCCCCGCCATCGTTTGTTTCGCCAACCTTCTGCAAAACATCTTCTACGTCTGGTGGGTCTGGATACGTCCAGCCTGGACTCGTATGCCCACAGGCCAGCAGAGAGCCAGGGAGATCACTCGCCGTGAACGTCTGCAGGCTGGTAACACCGAAGTTGCGACTACCAACACCAGCAAGAGTACCCGCACATTGCGAGCTCTTCCTGACTGGAGCTCCCTCCTCCGCGTCCCTCGCTTCTTCTGGCTCGTTGCCTGCACCCAAATTCTCCAAGCTGGTGTGGTAGGCGGGTTCAACGGTCTCAATGCCGACATCATTACTGAGACTCGAGGTTCCACCGCTCAGCTTGCCGGATACACATCCGCAGTGCAACAGGTCATCCCTGTCATCTGCGCACCATTGATCGGCTCATACTTTGACTTCTTCGGTCACAGAATGGTGTTTGTCAGTGTCACGTCTGCCATTTGGATTCTGGTTTATTGCCTCATTGGATACACCCAGACGAACGCTCTTGGCTCCATGGTCATCGCATCTGTGGCTTCGACAATGAACGCTCTTCCCTTCTTGGCGTCGATTCCCCTCATCGTCCCTGACCAGCTTGAACTTGGACTCGTCTTCGGAATCTGGAAGGTCTTCAACAATGCTGGAAGCGTCATCGTGGACATGATTGCCGGAAGACTGCAAGACATAACCCCTGGGGGCACATATGAGCGTGTCATTGCCTTCTTTGTGGCTGTCAAGGGTCTGGAGTTCTGTCTCGGCCTGTTCTATGGGATCTTGGACCGAAAGTAAGTTGAGGTTGCTGAAACATGATATGCACTCGTCTGGTTTACTAATATCCATGCCTAGGTATCTTTCGGGGATTCTTAGCATCAATAACAAGAAGCGGATGGGACTTGAGAAAGAGGGCAAGCTTGAGGACTGCGTTGGACGTAAGCCATCTAAGGTATACACGGCAGTAGGCATTAGTCTGGTCTGCTCGCTGATAATCATCGCCTGGGTGCTGTTCATTAAATACTCCATTTAATGTTTTTGCATTGAGATAATGTCAAATTTGACAGAATTTAGCTTTACATATTGCTGGACAAGCTGCTGCATCACATTTAGGGCAGCAGAATGAGACGCAAGCTCTTTTTCCGCAGCAGAAGAACGTACTCTAAGGTGCTTACAAATATGCAGACATGTATTTAGCTATGTAAGGGGATAAGGAAGTATCATGATGAGACTTTTGGCTACTGGAGAAAGTTCCCAATGACTCAAAGCGTGTATCGGAAGTCGGGATGCCTGTCGCCCTTCTTTCCTTGGTCAATCTCTCGTGACCTCTCATCGATACTCATATTCTCCCTCTTCTTGTTGATTCTGTTCAGCAGAGTCCACATGGTAAAGTAGCCAACCGACGCAATCGTAATGGTGCAAATAGAGACCGCATGACCAATCGTGTATCTTCCGTCCGAAGTAGTGATGCGGTAGATCTGTCCAGCCATGATACCAGCGCTGTTTCCGATGGTTTGTTGTAGGCCAATCGCTGTGGCACGCTTGAAGTATCCAGCGTTGCTATTCGAAATCCACGTGACGTTGAGGCCGACAACACAGTAGATACCCGTTGCCGTGACGAAAGTCGCAAAGTAGAGGACCGAAGTTGACTTCATGTTTACACCAAGCATCAGAGCGTAGCCTGTGGCGGTGATCAAAGCCATAGGAACCATGAACATAGCACGCTTGTTGATCTTGTCCGAGATGTAAGCAATGGTGAGGTAGACTGCCGACGCCCAGATGTAGACCGGCACAGTCAGGAGCTGGGTCTTGATGCTGCTGTATCCAAACCCGCGGATGATGACTGGCAAGAAAGTTCCGAAGCCGAAAGAGCAGGTGTTTGCGCAGAATTGGCAGCCAGCTGACAGCCAAACCTTGGGATCTTTGAATGCGAGTTTGACTTCTTGTTTGTCGAACGTCTCCGACTCACCCTGGTAGACTCTGGACTGCTCAGCACGGATGCGCATCAACGCCTTGTCTTCTTCAGTAAGCCACCTTGCTGACTCGAAGCTGTCAGGAAGCAGAAGAATGAAAGCCAAGCCAACCGCCACAGAGATGACACCTTCAATGAGGAAAAGCCATCTCCATCCGGCCAAGCCGCTCGCACCGTGCAAGCTCGTAAGCCCGTAGGCCAGAAGACCGCCAAAGGCACCAGACAACGCAGCCGCGACAAAAAGGTATGAGATTCTGCGAGCTTGTTCCTCGCGCTTGTAGTATGTGCTGAGGTAGAGCGTCAGGCACGGAAAAAGACCACTCTCAAAGACGCCAATGAGGAGACGAGTTGCGAGAAGACCGGCATAATTCGTGACAAAGGCCGAACCGATGACTGTTGCACTCCAGGATAGGATGAAGAATGGGATAAGTCGACTCGGCCGGGCTCTCTTGAGAATCAGGGATGCCGGGATCTCGAAGGTGATGTAAGTCACTGAAGTCCGTGTTAGCCAGTGTTATTCGCGCGGAGGACAGGGTGTGTCATCCTACCATAGAACACAGTGACAGCGACATTCAGCTTGTTGCCCGTGAGGCTCAAGTCCTCTGTCATGCCTGCAATTGCCGCGTTGCCTAGATCCAGACCCAATTAGATTTGTTTGATTAGAGTAGACCTGTGAGTCGAGGGTTGCGTACCGATGTTGCTGCGATCAAGGTAAGCGACTAAGAAAGCAATGATCATCATTGGCGAGAGCCATGCGTCCAATTTTCTTAGAAGGCGCTTTTCCGCAGCCGGGTCGATCGTAAGGTCGGAGCTCGCGGCTGCCGAATGGGGCTCGATATCACCATCTTTGGCGTCCATTGGCATCTTTTCCGAAGACATTGTTCTATGGCCGGCGGTTGTTGAAGCGTTGTTGAAGGTCTAAGTTGATCAAGCGAATTGATGAAAATATGTTGCGACTCTGTATAGAGCTGACGACATGTCCATATGACTAGACATGGTATCCATCAAAGGGCATATATCTACCTTATGCAAAAGATGCATCACAAAGGCACGGTGAGGTCACTGCATTCGCCTATCAAGCAAAGTCGGCTTTTGACCGACGCACATGGCTAGGCATCGGGAAATTGGCAAGCTTATCGTCGCATCCAAAGACCATCCTTGTGGTCTAGCGGGGGCAAAGCCGGGGAATGTAGGATTCTTATCTCTTAGTCCGCAAATAGCCTAGAAGCGCCGAGCCTTTCCTTTCGGCAAAGTGTGGAGAGACTGATAGCCAAGTCTCTTTGGCGACTTGAATACCCCGACATCGCCCTCTGGTCCGTACAAAAGGGGCCTATTTCCCGATCTCGCAAGCACGCGACAATACTTCGGCAGACAGTCCGAGCATCTTCTCAATGGATACCCCAACGCCCAGGACGACTAATCCGAAAAGTCCGATTATTCGCAAAAGGAAGCGAGGTAGGCATGCGGTTGCGTGCGAGTCGTGTCATCGGCGAAAGCAGAGAGTGAGTGAGCTTGCAAACTCATTTTCATTTTGGCACGATACGATGGTCTCATCGAAGCCATCTCTTCATTTCCCGACAGCCTACATGAAGCACCATTACGCTGAGACTTCATTTTGAGTTGTCTTGCTGCAAACATAATTGACGGCGCCAATGCTGAACTCAGTTTGACGACGGCTTGCAGGGCTTCCTCAGACTCTAAACCAAATTCTATCATCTCACTAACTTCACCTCGTCAGTGCAATGGTTCGCGACCATGTTTCAATTGTGAAAGGCGAGGAGTCGGTTCGTCGTGCTCCTATAGTCACTTAGTCGAAGACGATGGCCCGAGAGTGTCTCAAGGCCACCGCGATCCTCTCATGACTTCGCCAAGCGCCAACTTGGCGACCCCAGTCTCACCTCCTTCCACGAACGCGATCCCTGCACGAGATGCTGAGCAACCTGATAGCTCCTCGGGTTCCAGGACCTTTCCATCAAGATCTTCGAGTCGTGGCGGAGGGCGGCAAGGCGAGAGTAGCGGCCAAGATCAGTCCTCAGAAAACCTCGTCGGCAATCTCTTCAAAAGCCGCGATGCGCCATCCTTCTTCGGCTCTTCGTATTTCGGCCCTCAAGCCGCCGCAAAAATCATTCAAGCGCCGGCTCCAGAGCTATCAAGTGGTCTCAGCTCAAAGCCCCAGGCGGGATCAACTCATTCATTTAGAGAAGAGAATGGCCCCTTCTCTCAGATTTGGGATCTCCTCGGGCTGCTACCGCGCAAGAAGTCCACAGTCGACAGGCTGACGGAATGCTTTCTCAAGGAGCTCAACTGGGCAATTGACGCGGTCCAGCCAACCTCCTTCAAAGCCAAGTACGAAAACTTTTGGTCTCGCAAGTTCGGCTTTGATGACTTTGCCACGATTGATCTTCGCTGGCTGGCCTTGCTGTTCATTGTCTTGGCCTATGGGGTGTTGTTGGACTGCCCAAGGCCGCGGAACAGGGAGGTTCAGCGTGAGGTCTATGACACATCACAGCGGTTCTACTGGGCTGCTCGGAGAGCCATTGTGATTGCCCCAACTTTCTATGGCGAGTCAACGGATCTCGTGCGAGCTGGTGTTCTGGTCACTCGGTATCTCATTTACACCCGTCGTGTACCGGAATCGTGGCTCACAACGAGTTTTGCTATGCGGATGGCTCAAGCGCAGGGCATGCATATCGACGGTGAACGGTGGAGGCTTCCCAGGAAAGAAACAGAGACCAGGCGACGACTATGGAGTAATCTCTACATGCTCGATAAAACCATAGCACTAGCTCTCGGCCGGCCGTTTGCTATTGTTGATCAACAGTGTCTTGTTCAACAGGCTTCCAATGTCTGGCTAGACGACCTAGATGACGAGGAGGCTGCCTCAGTCCCAGAAGCACCCCTTTCTGAGCCAACCGCGAGCGTCTTCAGCCGGCTCGCTCACGAACTCGCCGTGGTCGTAGGCAAGATTCAAGAGCGATGTTTCGGTCTATTCACAGTTTCATATGAGACGGTTCTCACGCTTGACAAAGAGATCGATACCTGGAGAGGCAGGCTACCACCGTATTTCGAGTTGGAGGACCCGGACATCTCCAAAGACGACCGTCTCCCTTTCCTCCCCTGGCAGAGATTACATCTGCACAGCATGTACCATTTCGCAAGAGTCACACTACATCGACCGTTCCTTCTCCGCCAATCCATCACAAATCGGTACAGACATAGTCACGACGTATGTATAGCTTCCGCCTGCGCAGACCTTGACATGGGTCTCAGAATGTTCAATCAACCTCTGAACGACCGCTTGAAGTGGAGTCTGGGACCACATAACCTCTTCAATAGTGCTCTTGTCCTGGGCATCATAGCTGTCCGCGACCCTCACTCTCGACGTTCTCAGGCCATCCTCGAGGACTTATCTGCATACTGCGAGATGCAGAGAAATGACGTCTGGCTCAATGAGTTTGCCCTCGCTGAAGTCAAAATAGTTGAGCTCTGTGTCAAAAAGGCAAGGCAATCTCACCCGCCACCAGCCAACACCCTAGTACCGCTAGCTCTGGCTTCAGCTTCACCTAGCAGGCGCTTCTCTCAGCCCGTTGGCCAACCGCCAGTAATGGAGACACAACCTCAGTTGCCAGTTGAAAGTCCCGACTTTGATCCTCTGATGGCTGGTCTGGGACTTCCTTACAGCACGACAAGCGCGCAGATGACGTGGGATGATCCTGGATTCTTTCTTCCCGAGAGCGGAGACCTATCGCAATGGGAGCATGTTATCAACACTCTTATGCATGATCATGCAAGCATGTGATCTTAGCATGAGTTATAGAGTGGCAATTTGAAAAATATGAGGAAGTCGCGGATTTAGGTCTACATTTAAGCCAGTGCAAAAACTATAGACAGGCATTTCCAGTACTGGATAAAACATAGCATCATCTCAAATGTTTTTACCAGTGAGTATAAAGTATCCGCTGTTGAGACTAAGTAAAATGAAATAACAGATGAAGCCTAGCTTTCCGGTCTTAATTCGGAAGGGCGCGAGCAGACTTTTACGAAATCCAGTTGAGACACCTAATCTTCTACGACCGCTCAAGTCGGGTTGCTAGAACGTTCGCCCGAAATATGAACGATAGCAGGAGAATATTGAAGTTTCATAAATATGATTGGTTTTACTTTCTAAATACTTCGGTATCTACACTCGCTTTTGCTGCTGTCATGAATACAGTAACTTTTCCCAATTTCCTTACGCAGCGGGGCACTTGTCTCCGTTCTGGGGTAGTTAATTAGTATGTGAAGGTTTCCATTGGAAAAACGTTTATGTAGACTTACCTCGGAAATGTCGCCCGGCGCAATGCACTTGCAGCCATCCTTGTTGTAGCGGACGCAGCACTGTCGATACAGTTAGTAACTTGTCTCAAACGGACCGATTCATCTACAAGACCACTCCTGGCCTCGAAGTGGCTTTCATGAACAGTGAACATTTCGGTTGGCGATTAGCAGTGTGACTTACCCAGGCACCGGCGCAAGCGGCTCCAACACCACCGCAGTTGCTCTTAATGCACTCCATACGGACGTCAAATACGCTGTTGCTGCTAGTGCGCTCAGCGGCAACGCTGGCCATAGCCAGGGGAGCGGTGGCGAGGAGGATCAGCTGGGTGATGGTAGAGAACTGCATGATGGCGACTAGGCTGTTTAGTTGCTGAGAGAACTGGATGGTTGATTGATTTGTTGGTTGAAAGATTGAGTGTTTGGCTGGTTGATTGACTGTTGATGAGGAATTTCATCTGCCATGATTACTGATTCTAGCTCGGTATTTGTACTTCTGATCTTTTAGAATACGGCATTATTGCCATCCGGCGTCCGGCATTGCCTTCCCCGGTCGTTGCGGCGGGCATAATTCTTCTTGCCCCGGAGGCTAACGACAATTAATCTCATTCAAAAGCTGATGCTGTATTTAATTACTTTGACTTTGTTTTGCAGTCCACAACGCGCTCTGTCCGAGTATCGGTGTCGGTTTCGGTTAGTTACGAGTCAGTGCAGTAAGTATTACTTGCACAATAAACCGACCTGTCTTTGTCCATACCTTACTCGTAGCTAGCAAAGCTCCTTTAAGCTTTCCATACGGATACAATTTCCTACCAGGATAGCCAGGGCAAGATTTCGCGGTTACGTAGCATAATTAAATTGAGTCTTGGGCCGATTTTCAAGGGCGCGACTCGCCAACCTCAGATACTCGTATTCCATTTCTGCCAAAGTTGAAGCTAACGAGCCGAAAGCTTCTCTATCGGAGAAATGATCGACACACAACTATTTCCTATTCGTTGAGCATCCAATGCAGTCAGATTAAGATGGCAACATCATCACAACTCGTTGCACAATTCATCGCCTTTAAGCGTACGGAACTTCAATTTCCGTAAAGACCAATTTGCGGTATCTGTAGTGAACCTCATCTCGTCGGACAGCATAGAGGCCCGTCTGAGCCGACTCTTGGCCTTGTAGGGCTTAGGAGCCCCGGATGTCGGAGTTGTCCCGCAAGGCATGTGCATTACGGCTATGCATATCCGCATTGTCAGTGGAGAACTACCTAAGTGGTAATTCCGGGGACTTGGAAACTCTAAGTCGTGCAGGACGGAGGGTTTTACAACAATCTCTGTATACCTACTTACCTAAGCGGCATGGCTCTCGGAGTTCGGGACTGAGCAAGATACGTCACAATGCCCCTCAAGTTGACTAGCGATCCCAGTAAGATGGAAATATCGATGTAAGAAAGAGTCCAAGTTGGCAGGTCTAACGGATAAATATGTGTGTTCATTCTGCAGTGGTCTATGAGTGCTTCCTCAGCTTAATGGAGTCCATTGACCTTGACTTCTTTCACTCCATTCACACCGTTCACCGCTTTAATTCCATTTGCCCCATTCATTTTCTTCTGGGGGTTCTCCTCGTATTCCACCTTATTAACCAAACTGCCTAGGCCGTGGCTCATCACGATGCGAAGGTCATCCCCAGGAGCCAAGAAAACAGGCGGAGTTCTACTCACACCGATCCCGTGAGGAGTCCCCGTCATGATCACAGTCCCGGCCTCCAGCGTCGTGCCTTGAGACAAATACGCCACGATCTCGGCAATGGAAAATATCATGTCGTCCCCTCTACCCTCTTGCATCACCTCGCCGTTGAGGATCGTCTTCAGCTCAATGACTGAAGGGTCTGGGAGGCTGCTCGCGCTGACGATACACGGGCCCATCGGAGCAAAGCCGTCGAATCCCTTTCCGAAACCCCATTGAGCACCAGCGAACTGATGCTTTCGCGCCGTGACGTCGTTGGAGCACGTGTAACCGAGCACGTAGTCCATGGCATCCTCCACGCTGACATTCCTCGCGTCACGGCCGATGATGACCGCTAGCTCAGCTTCGTAGTCCGCTTGAATATCTGTTGCCTGATGAGGGATGAGGAGTGGTGCGTTTGACGCGTTGAGGCAGCTTGCGGGTTTGAAGAAGAGAGTTGGATGTTCTGGAAGTTCGAGGTTCATCTCTTTGGCATGCTTGCGGTAGTTGAGACCAATGCAGCGGATCGTGCCGATTTCTTTGCGTGTCAGGGGCGGAAGAAGTTTCTGGACGTTGAGGATCCTTGATGTTGGCTCTGCTGAGGCGTCCAGGGCTGAGATTCCAGTGAAAACCCGCACCAGTACAGGGAGGGATGCGGCCAGCGCAGCTCCAACTTTTGAGAGTGTTAGAATATGATTTAACTTGACCAGGAAGAAGAGTTCATACCGTCGACAGTCTCGTCGACTGGTTCGCCGATGTATTCCCTCCAATCATCTTCCGCGATGAATCGCACAAGCCGTTTCCATCTCTGAAGATTGTTAGTTACAGATACCTACGATGACAATGTTGCTTTGAAGCCCACTTACAGGAGTTATCATCTTGACTGACTAATTCTGAGGCTCAGTTACGAAGAGATTTAAATTAGTTGATCGTGTTGCGTTACAGCCCCAGGTGAATTCGGATGAGCTTGTTTGCGATAAGAGTCGGTATGGCATTGCCTATGAGGCGGATATAAACACCCGCATCCAGAAGACAGTCCTCCGACTATTGACCGGATGCTGACTGCATCGGGTGACGTCGGTCATCCTCCGTAGTCGTGGCGTTTTCCCGATGGCTTCGGGAAATGTGATCGGCCTTTTCTCCAAAACCAAGCCCAGTATCCGCACCAAGATAACGTCGGGGATCCTCACCCCGCAAAGCCCACCTTAAGTCGACAAGAGATGGTCCGGTAGATAGATAAAGACTGGTCGATAATTATGTAAAATTCTATAAACAACCTGGGGAGAAACGTGGTTCTGTTCCTTTTGTCCAGACGCGCGCCCACGCGATGCCGATTCGGCCACTTTGCCGGACCCATCTCCGGTGGGCCAGACTTCTCGGAGGCCCGAACGCTTGGGTCGGTCTTCTTATCTCCATTTTCACTAGCTTTTGGCTTTCGAGAGATCCGTCTATCCATACAGGTCCTCCACAAGAGTCAGAAAGCTTTGCCTGATTAAGGTAGTTGAAGTTGTGGCATGACTGTTCCTCTGAGGCCGCTGAGGCCAAAGTTGTCCGCCACACTAGCTGATGGGCCAGCAAAATTTGCGGCCCTCGAGTGGGTCACACTTTCATCCACCCTTCCCACAACATTGTTAAATTCAAAATGAGCTACATCTTTTAACAACTAGAACAAGCACAATAGCTCAGGGGTAGAGCGCTGGGCTCATAACCCAGAGGTCCCTGGATCGAAACCAGGTTGTGCTACGAAAACTGTCCTTTTGCGAGTGTTACCTCCTGTCCTGATCTATGCATTGTTTCCTTTTGTTCTTTTGTAGGGTGACAAGGACTTGAACGTCTAGAGGGGGCACAAAGGACAATGAAACCTTTGCCGAACTTCAGTTAGCTACTCCTCCGAGCCTCGATTGTTCGGCGAGGTGGGCGTTATGAGGTGGGCGTACTCTCTTTCACCAGAGTTCAACGCCAAAATGTTATTGATAGACGTCTTCATCATTGTACTTATGGTTTAGGACGACATTCTGGTCAACTTTCATTGTATGCCGAGCCTAGCTCGATTCTGTTCACCTCATAACCTTCTGTCAGGACTCTCCCAATGATTTCCGTGGTCGTTGGTGGTATTAATGTATCATGAACATTCCCATTGGTTGCTTGTAAGTGCTTGTAGTTCAAGGTTTTACTTGTATCAAAACGATGGATTCACCAATGCCCACCGACCATTACGTTATTCTCGGCGTCGGGAATGACGCGACACAAGAACACATTGAATACGCATTTCATGGCCTGGTGGAAATAGCTCGTCAGTGTAGTCAGCATGAAGCATATGACAGAGCGGGAAGACCTCGGAGTGCGAACCTGGCCAGTTCGTCCAGAGACCAAGATTCAAACAGAATGTTAACCCGACATGGACACTTTTCAGTCTATCAAACGCATATCACAACGGCTTACAAAGTTCCCAGTGACCCTCTTCTGCGCGCGCAATACGACAAGTCGAGACAACCCATAGTCAGGGCCAAGAGCTTTCGTCTCCGCAAGTTTTCAGTGTGGAAAAGACGCACGTCTGACGATGATGTTCCGGAGATCGCAAGTATCAAACAAAAGCTGAAAGAAAAGCTGAAGAAAGGCAAGAAGAAATTTGAAGCTGCTTTGGAGACAGCGGCGCACAAGGCGGAAGAGGTTGAGGTGCGGCAGAAATCTTGGTGGCCTGAAGTACTTGCCACTCCCCGGGAAAAGAGCTTCTACCAGCAGCCGGCAATATCACGGGCTCAGCCTCACCAACTTCAGAACAAATACCACCTATGCAGAAGAAGTCTCGAAACCCCAATGATTTATAAAGACGTTCGCAAAACTCCGAAGGGCTATCAAGTTCGAGATCGGGATGCTACTACTGAGTTGTACAATGGGGACTCACATAGCTTCAACGAGGCCGTGGAGCCAAGAGAGTTGACAATGCGCAGTCCGCCCAATAAGGCGCGACTTGCCCCTCCTGGGCGACGGTCGGCTTGCATGGATAACGTGTCTCGTGGGTGGAAAGGATGGTAACTGACGAACAAGGGCCTTCCACTCCCCGACTGTCCCATTCGCCAGGAGTTTGATTCGAAGTGTCTCTGTAGAAGTGCAACTCTACGACTTGCATGATGTGCAGGCTTACTTAGCGAGACTTTGCCTTAGATTCAAGTAAGTGACGTCAAGTAAACCTAACGGATGTGCCTGTAGCCCTATTGAAACGACAAAAGCCCGACTGTATTGACTGTGCACCACTACCAGCTGCTGACTTGGGCGCTCATATCATTTGTCATATTCACAGTCGCGACATGCTCATTGCGACCAGTCATTTGCGGCCGTCAGAATTTGGCAATCCTGATCATAAAATCGTTGATTGCGTCCGGTATTGCGGCGGAAAGCGCTCATTGCGGGAAAGCGTAATTATATCAGCCCCAATGCTCGCTTTTGGCAGTAAGATAGTGGTACTGCAGAAATGCAAAGATGTTCGGAACGTGATTCTATGAACAAAATGGATAGCTTTAAGAAGACTTTGCAAACCCTTCTCAAAAGAAAAAAGAAGAAAAGAAAAGAGAAGAAAAACCCTAGGTTCCTTGTAATTTGTATGGGAATATGAAATAAGAAGAGTACGAACCAAACTAGCTATCCAAGTCTCTTCTATACACGATGAAGTATGAATGATGATTGAATTGAATGAAACGATATTTGTTCTGACTGCCGAATGTCATAATTTCCTTTAATCAATCTTTACGCAAGTCCCAAAATCTTTCATCGCTTGAGCAACTACCACCAACCCTCCCACCGCAACGGAGGCATAAGACATACAGAGTAATACCTCTACTCCGAAGAAAACACGTACTTTATGTGCATTTTTTCCGTTGCGGATTAGTAGCTGTGGTCCCATCGTCTCAAAAACACCTACGAAACTTGGGCCAGTGCAGGATCCAAACACAAGCCACATCATAATCCACACACGCTGATACAAAGCGCTCTGACCAGTTCGGAAGCGAGAAAGGAGACCTATGATAGTGAGTGGCGCAGACATTGCAACCAAAGTTACATACATCGCTTCCATATTGAGTGGATGTACAACGGTGTTGACCAAAGATTGAAAAAAACCCAATCGAAACAGTGGGAAAAGTCGGGATAGTGCAGTAGATAGGCCTGTGCTTCGAGTTTCTTCCCTGTGCATCTGCATTAGAAGGTTGTCGTATGAGTCTCCTGACAGGCGGCCGACTGTGCCCACGACCTCGAAATGCTGTTGTTGTTCCGGAGTGCCTGTTGCCCTCAATCTCGACCGCAGTTCATCCAAGCCAGTAGACTCGACAACAAATATGTTCTCATACTGTGGACACATGATGTTGCCCACAAGATTGATGACGGACATCCAAGCATATGGGATGACGGTGAATCCAAAAGCAGCGTAGCCATATCGTTCGACCTGGTCACCACGTGTTTGATAAAGCGTTGCAATTGCGAACAGGAGCTGCACTAGAGAAGCAATGGCCTTAATGAAGTTGGGGCTAGCAGACACAATTATGTGTTGCGACTGATCTTGCCGAAAATATGACGTTATAAAACTGGCCCGAGGTCGTTTCTTTGCAATATTCTCGTCGTCATGATCTCCGATGAACCTCGCACCTGCAAGTACAGGCACCAGTTCGTATCCTTTCGGCAAACAACAGCGACCATGAATACTTTGTGCAAAGAATGGAGGGAGCTCTGCAAGCCAAATGTTAGCACCGGCAACTTTGTTCCGTCAAAAAGGTGGCTTTTGAAGCCGTAAGACATACGGCTGCTTTTGTCTTCCCAGTTTCCAATGTCGCTCGCCTGTTGTTTTGGTTGGGTATGGCATTTCTCATTCGAACTTTGCGTCCCAGCCCTATCATCAGGGCCATTTCTCAGCTTCTGTGCGGGAGCCACAGTTGGCCCTTCCTCTTTCTGACTTGGAATGACTGTGTAAATGGCGTGTGCTCGAGCCGCTACTTCCAGAGGGGTAGCTCCAAATCTAGCAAAGCTTCTGATCTTTCGCAAGCCCCTTAATGTACCCGTTCCTGGGAAGACAATGGCGTGTGCAATAGCCAATAAAGTATCGTAGATACTCTGGCCCGGTTGCGTGGTAATGGTCACTGCATGGGCACCATAGTTGCCTAAGTAGAATACCAAGATATTGATCCATGTTGTAGGACGACAAAGAAGATGACAATTGCCTCGGTGAAAGAATCCTGGTACATTTATCGAACACCCCAGGTTATCGTGGTCGTCAGCACTACCGTTGTTGCTGCCTGTCTGGGCGTAAACCTTCGTAAGGCTCGCAAGTAGGACTAAGATTATAGGATGACGCATGTTCCGTGAAGGTCTCATAGTACAGGAAGATGCTCGGATAAAAACGTAACAGGGCAGCATATTGCTGTACCTGTAATCTCGTGATCTCGAGAGAACGGAGAAAGGCAATTGAGTCTAATTATTCAAAGACAAGTTTACATGCGCACACGGAAAAGTGTTGCTTTATATAACCCTGACTCAACTCATGATATTATCGTATGTGTATGTTGTCTGCTGCGAGATGACGTCGTCTGCGAGCTGACGTGGGAGGCGGATTGATATGAAATGCGAGTTGACGTGGGTTTCGAGATGACAATGAGCTTCAAAGTTATGTAGGCGAGGAGAGAAGCCAGCTACATATTGATCCGCATTGATGTTCATCATTCCCCGAAATTGAGAATTCTCCAAGCGAATCGATTTAGATACCGACGTCATACTGAGAGTTACGGTGCGGCACTCTGTATCTCTCATTGGCAATTGTTAATCAAGACAAAGAGTACGTACATGCATGCGCTGAATAGAGTTTCGAAGGAAAGGTAACGTGTAAAGGTTTGAGTTATATTTCAGAGATGTTCATCCCAACTCCAAACAGACGATGTTCGGAGCCGCGCAAACGACATAGCGTCTGTCCTCCAATACGAAAACAATATAAATTACAATCCATAGAAATGTTAGCATCTCCACCTTTCAAAGATTGTCCAATTGGCGTTGTGGCAGAGTGGTCTAATGCGCAAGACTAGAAATCTTGTTCCTTCGGGAGCGTCTGTTCGAATCAGGCCAACGTCGTCTTTTGCTTTTGTGTCCTTTGGCTTTTCAATTTTGATCTTATTTTTGGGCGCCTATCCAAATCCGCAAGGTTTAGAATGTTTTGGCATTGCAGCAGGCAGCTTTAAGGAAGAACTTATAAGATTGTTATTCAGGTGCCTGGAGTACTTCTTGCAGAGGATCCTGTTCGTTGACCTTTAACCCTATTGGGATTAGCCCATCCATTTGTAAGCGGGGTCTCATCAGACAACTTCCCGAGTCCCGCCTTCAAGCCACGGCCATAATCTACTTGACTACTTGGCCCCATCCAAGAAGTCACGAAGAGCTCGTCACAGCGTGACTGTCGTTACTGAAACATCAGAGTACTCCATCTTATACCGGATCGAATGACAGAGCCTGGACAAGGGCATAGATACGCCTTCTAGCAACTAACAGAAACGATGGAGACATCCAAGCCCAAAAGAGTCAGGAGGAGAAAGGTGAGTGGCTCCAACTCCTAACGCCTACCTAGCCGGGTGAATGCAACCTTCAAAGAAACTGACAATGGAGTTGAACCGTACAGGCCTGCGATCTGTGCTATCATAAGAAGATTAAATGTGATGCAAAAGAGCCACGATGTTCCGGTTGCAAGTTATACAACTCAGAGTGCACTTACACTGGCCCGACGAGGGCGACTGCCGTGAAGTCGAATCAGTATGTCTTCACTTCTAAACTCTCCGCAGAGAAATTTGGTCAACTGACGGATTATTCAAAATAGAGCCAAGAAGATCGAGATGCTGGAAGCCAGACTGGCGCAACTGGAGGCCCAAAAACAACCCTCGCCCAAGGCATCCAACCCAGAATTCTTGCTGGCATCTTCGGTGCCCGATTCAGCTGCAAGTATCTCTGAAGAGGAGCAACATATCTGGGCGACAAATACTGATTCAACACTAAACGAATCACCCGGCTCCTCTACCAACCCAGGCTCAAGCATCTCGGGTCGCGAATCCAGCAAAACACTCCCGCCCTTGCGTCAGATTCTGCCTTCGATAGAAGACTACTTTCAGAACTCGAATCAGGTGCTCCCTCTATTTGAGCGAGAAAGCTTCGTTAAGATGCTGCGAAGTTGGTACGCGTATCCGGCGCACCGTAAATCAGACGTCTGGGCCGCCATCAACGTTGTCTTAGCCCTGGCACACCGGCACTCCTACGCTTCCAGTTACGAAGAGACGCAGAATATGCAGCGATATATCGACAATGTTCGATCCGTCTTGAACAAATTGGTCATCAATGATCCAAGTATGCTGGTCTTGCAGACTTTACTTGGACTGGTACTCGTATTCCACGGCTCAGCGGACCAGGGCCCGGCGTCCATACTAATTGCAACTGCAATTAGGCTTTGCCAGAGCCTTAGACTTCATACAAAGTCTACGGCGCAGGAATTCGAGCCGGCTGAGACTCTCCAGAGGAGTCGAGTCTTTTGGATCGCCTTCATACTCGACCGCGACCTAGCAATGAGATTGACGCAGCCGCCTATGCATCAAGAGTCAGAGATCGACATAGACATTCCATCTCTACATCCTCCGGATGATGTAGGTATGATCATGGGTTTCTCTGGCCAAAAGTTCAATTACTTCCGCAGTACTGTTCAGCTCGCCTACATCCAGGGAAAGCTGTATCACATGTGTTTCTCCGTTCGGGCTCTCAAGCTTCCAGACCAACAAAAGAGTCAGAACATGCTTCGCATCCGTGAGATGCTGGAAAATTGGCAAAATTCAATACCTATGGAATTCCAGCCAGAGCTGGCAGCAGCAACCGTGGCCGCTGAGTACCTTCGATACATTTGCCTACTTCACTACACCCACCTGCAGCTAATTGCAACAACACACTACACAGACTCGCACCACCTCGAGTGGCTTCAAGGGTTGCTCAGCTGTAACAAGGGGAGTACTCCGGCAGTGCGGTCCGACCTAGCAGCACGGCTTCCAAATTGCTGGGACAGGCTGGTTACTGAGGCGCGGACTTGCATGCATCTCTATGCTGCAACACCCGAGAATGACTCGGCTCTGACTTGGTATTTGGGGTTTCCTTCTTCAATCCTCACAATTGTTGCTAACGATTTTGTTGCAGGCTAGTGTCGTGCGGCTACCTCACAAGTATCATGTTCATCACCGTCAACAACCTGGCCTGTCCAGATAACCCGTGTCGACTGACGGATCAAAGCAACGTCGAATCGGCCTTGCTCCTACTCGAGCGTCTCATAAAGGCTACAGACGACGGAAGACTCAAGAGGATCCACAGTGCTTGCAAAGATATCAACGAGAGGGCGCGACTTGCCGTGCTGTCAAGTTCATCAGACGAATTCTCACACTTCAATCCTCCCGGGCTTGAATTTGGAGACGAAGACCCTCTTGATGACGGAAGGTGGGGACTAGTCGACAACAATTTTTGGACGATGAACGAGTATGCCTCAAGTTGATCTGACCACTTGGGAGAATGGGGGCACAGGCGTCAGTACGGGTCATAAGAAACAGAAAATAAGGCAGGCTACAGCTGGGAATGGCGCAGAAGAACAGTGACGGGAGCAGCCTCGTATTATTGTCCAAAATGCAGTTGCTCCAGAACAAAGTGTATCTTACAATCTGTTTGTCCGCATTACATACAAGAGCATCTGCTGTGTTATGTGACAATCAAAGATCCCAAACGAGTAATGTCATACATAAGGTAGATCTGAGTGATTCATTGTCCGATTTTCACCCGACTGAAGGTGCCTTCTGGTGCCTGCACTCCCGGTACCTGCCTGCCTTTGTTTTCCGTGCCTTCCTTCCCAAACGACCTAGGCTCCCTCCTTCCCAGTCCAGATTCTTTTTCTAAACGTCCTTTATTTCCTATTTTCTAGAGTTTTCATAAATTCAAAACCTCCTCCTCCCACTCTTGAGTCTCTCTTCTCATTCTCCACCGACCACAGTCAACTTTCTCCGATTTCTCCAAAAGCATGGCCGACTCTGGTGCTTTTCACACCGCTGCAGGCACCCCACAGCCTGCCGAGGACGATTTGAGCTTTGCCTTACGGCTACTGCTTTTGTAAGCTCGACTCTTCAGTGTTACGGCCCCCATATATGCATATTATATGTCGTTCATTAACCCGTTGTTCTCCTAGCGATTTTAATGAGCATGTCTCCCTCAAATGTGGCAAAAAGGTCTTCAAATTTAACAAGCATAAGCTGGTCGAGGACTCTGAATACTTCAGAGCATGCCTCAACAACTCCACCTTCGTCGAAGGCAGAACTTCCGTCATCGAATTCGACGACATTGAACCAGAGCTTCTCGACACTTACCTTCAAATCGTCGATGTAACAGATACGTGCGATCCAATCGACGTCGAGCATTTCCTAGTCAGCAGCGAGTGGGACAACGAAGCTATGGACGACATCATTCCCATGATCGAAATGTACCGACTTTCCGATCGTTTCATGAACAAGTCTATGCGTGTCAAACTGAGCCAGTCGATTCTAGAGGACATGCAGAAGGGAACAGTCGCCAAGGTCAACAAGTCATCGCCAGAGGGTATCAAATGGTTGTTTAACACATACAAGACCGCATATGACACCTTGGATCCCAGCATTCCCGATGAGGCCAATCTCCAGTCTCAAATTGCGGAGATTTGCTGTCGTCAGATCGGTATTGATAAGACCTGCGCTCTTATCCATACGTCCCCCGAGAGTGAGGCTTTTCTGGAGGCCGTGCTGATGGCCGCGACTCAACTTGTGTCTACTCTCTTGGAGCAGAACAAGTCCCTCGGCGTGAAGGTCAAGCGTGTCAAATTGGAGAACCGGAAGCTGAGAAAATTTATCCGCCACATGGATGAGGAGGAATACCGCGATTGGCTTGCCAACTGTGATGGTATGGATCTTGATGGCTATTCCTTCCCTGGGGACCTTGACGATGATGTTTGGTTTGTTGCAAATGGAGGCTATGAGGATGAGGATGATGAGGATGAAGAAGAAGATGATGAAGATGATGTTGAAGATGATTTGCATCAAGCAGATCATTGAGAATCGGACTGCAGCTCGTTGATCGAGCATTGAATGATACAAGAAGGATGGAAGCAGGAAAAGGCCCAGACTCTTCTGTGCCTGGGCTGTTGTATTGTTCTCTGAGCTGAGCTTGGCCGAAACAATCAGAACTACACGAAATGATGGTGGTAACTAGGCACCTAAATAAATGCTGACCAGCCACTCCTTCCGTATTTGCAGCTTCAGAGCATGCACTCACTGAGCTTTTCAAATCTTTAGCCCCCTCGTTGCCAAATTCAACAGTAATGACGGCAATTCATTTTATTGACATTGTCAAGCCAACCAGAGCTTTCGTGTGAGCTTGAGGACGAGGAGCATAGAGGGTTACCACCGACAGCTCTCTTATTTGGATTGCATCCCCCTATCGCCTCATAATCTTACGCGCACACATCATTGTGGTGTTCATCTAAGAGAATGTTGGATCTACACAACTTCCAGATTCATAGGGCTACAAAGCGCTTCAAAGACGAAAAAGGCTCGGCAACATCTTCTGACTACAATGAACCTCCAAAATTACCTGCAGGATTTGATGCAGCATGATTATGACGAATATGCAACTCGTACAATGGTCCACATATCAACTTACTGACTGCCCGGGATATCAGTACATAATTTTGCGTACTTGCCGTCAATTACTCTTCTCGCTAACGATTGGCGTTGGAGCAGGCGCTTGAAAGAGCCCTGGCATTGATACGTCGGACCGTCACATTGCATTTCCTTAGCTGGAATATCACACGTAAATCATTGGCTGCTTGCATGTGAAGCCAACAGGCTCTCCTGCAGCTTACTCTTTCGTATTCTCTATGGAGAGCCAGGTCGCAGTCTGATACAACACGGTACCAACAAAAGGAGGTGGAACTTTCTCATGCTTCTGGGTCCGCTGACCTACGTAGAACGCAGCACTGGCTGCTTGGGTGGTCCGTTCGGCATACGTGGATGAATTTGCGATGAGGGGTGCACACTTGGCACGACTAAGCCGAGATGATGATATGTGAGCTGCCGTCGACTCCCCGCAGAGAAGTCAGCAGAGCAGATGATGGCTGGCAATTGAAATTGGAACTTACTGTCGCGCACTCGGTCTTCCTCTACTTCAGGTTTTTCCTATCGCTCTTTCCACTTCGCAACGCTGACCGGTCACGGGGATCTTGCACGCCCGAACTTGAATCATGGCATTCTTCTTTCTGATCCCGCTGGCGATTGTAACCTTTGCCATCTTCAAGTTGCGAAATGTCGGCCGACGGCCCAAGAACTATCCTCCAGGGCCTCCTACGTTACCACTGATCGGAAATTTGCACCAGATTCCAACGACGCAATCGCATCACCAGTTCAAGAAATGGGCTAAAGAGTATGGGTATGTTCAACGGAGCGCTCGCCTACATGGCTGAGAAGTACGAGTATCCATAGACTAACTTTGGTGTCCTGGGTAGCCCAGTTTACTCGCTCATTCTCGGCACCAAGGTCATGATTGTGCTCTCGTCCGACCGAGCAGTCAAGGATCTTTTGGACAAACGCAGCAACATCTACTCCTCTCGCACCGATCTCTACCTCGGAAATGTAGTCAGCGGCAATCTCCGCGTCGTCATGATGGTCAGTTGCTCAGCGCTTGCTATGTACGACGGATTTCTGATCTTAGGACTAACGGAACAAAAGCAATACGGCGAAACCTGGCGCATGATCCGAAAGATTTTCCACCAAGTCCTACACATCAACGCCGCCAAGGGCTACGTACCATACCAAGATCTCGAGAGCAAACAGATGCTATCCGGGTTCCTGGAAGAGCCCGACTCCTTTGTCGCTCACATCCGTCGCTTCACGACCTCGCTGACGACGCAGATGGTATTTGGATTCCGTACGACGAGCATACATGACGAGAAGCTGAAGAGGCTGTACCACTGCGTCGAGAAGTGGAGCGAGGTCGTGGGTTCTTCTGCGGCTGCTATGCTGGATGTGTACCCACCTCTGAGGAACCTCGGGTTCATGTCGCCTGGCAAAAGATATGCAGAGGCGCTGCATAAGGAAGAGAGGGCTCTGTACGTTGGTCACTGGATGGATGCAAAAGAGCGTGTTCTTAAGGGCACAGCAAAGGTGAGCATTGCCCCATATTCCAGATCGCGTATAGGATACTGATCGAGGCTCAGCCCTGTTTCTGCGTGGGCATCGTCGAAAGCCAAAAGACTCTCAATTTCTCCGACGCCCTGGCCGGCTACATCTCTGGATCCGCGCTTGAGGCTGGTTCGGACACCACCGCATCCACGCTGACTGGCTTCGTCCAAGCCATGGTTCTACATCCATCGGTACAGAGGCAAGCCCAGGACGAGCTGGATCGAAATTGCGGTACCAAGAGACTCCCGAACATGGATGACTGGGACTCGATGCCCTACATACGGGCATGTGTAAAGGAATCTCTGCGATGGATGCCGACTGCGATCCTCGGCCTGCCGCACGCCGTCATACAGGACGACGAGTACATGGGCTACAAAATTCCCAAGGGCGCAGGCGTCATGCTGAATGTATGGGCCATCAACATGGACGAGAACCGGTTCGAGAATCCCCGCGCTTTTGATCCTTCTCGTTATGAAGGCGACAAACAGAACTCGTTTGAGTCGGCGATGAATGGCGACGCGTCGAAGCGCGATCACTATGTCTTTGGTGCTGGTCGAAGGCTCTGCCAGGGAACGCATATCGCTGATCGATCGCTGTTCCTGAGTATTTCGAGGCTATTGTGGGCTTTCAACCTTGAGAAAGCAGTTGATACTGAGGGAAATGAGATTACACCAAACGCGGATGACCTCACTGACGGGTTCCTGGTCCAACCGAAGCCGTTCCCTGCAAAGATTACGCCAAGGAGTGATGCTCATGTCCAGGTCATCCGAAGGGAGTGGGAGGCGAGTCAGGCGCTTCTGGACGAGAGCAAGCAGTGGAAGGAGATCCCCAGCGGAATGGTTTTTGAGTCTTTGGTATCGTCGGATCTCAAAGAATGACCTCATCATGGACGTTGGGGATGAACAAACAATCTGCTCAAGAGTATCACAGCAGCTCAGATAAACGAATGAACTGTAAAATGGTCTCTCATAACTTGTGGTCTTCGTTAAAGTTGGAAACATTGTCGTGCCCTTGCTTGTAGGCACCGAAGTTTCGTAGTATCGCTCATGCCTTGAACTTCTCAGGAGCTCTCTCCTCGGCCTGATCCTGAGGCACTGCCTTTGCCTTTCCTCTTCCTGGTGCGTTCTCGAACTTGTCCTTCCACTTACCCTCTTGGTTGAACATTGTGAGGCACTGGATCGCTGATGGCTTGCCATATTCTGGATCAGCACCACCCTCCAGGAGGACCTGCCAGAGTTAGCGTTAGCACCATGAATGGGAGTTCCTTCCTTCTCGTGGTGTGCCTCATCTGCTTACCTCAATTACCGCATCCAGGCCCTTAAAGACAGCGCCCGCGATGGGACTTTGACGCTTGTCATTCAGTCTGTTGGGGTCAGCTCCATGCTGGATCAGGAGCTTGACCACGTCCGCATGACCGTAGTACGCAGCCAACATCAACTGAATAAGATGTTAGCCGTAAGCTTACTCAAAACCCATCGTCAAGGTCTCCGGTTTGGACGCTGAAGACGGCCACCCCCCGTCCAGAAACAGCCGCTGAGGTGAGCATCGCTACGCACCAATGTATCTCCCTTCTCATTGGTCAAGTTTGGCGGCAATCCATCGAGGATACCTTCCTCAATGACAGCTTTGTTGCCTTCGCGAGCCGCATTGTACATGCTGGCAGCCAACCTGACGGCCTCCAGCGATGGCGAGAACGCCGTGGCAGATGTCAACGCGCTCATGTTTTCTTCTGGTGGATGTTTTGAGTACGACGAATTGCGCAATAGTCTCCGGATGGGTCTAGCACTTAGTAATGCTGATAATGATAGTGGTTCCTCGCGGCGGAGGGCGACACTAGAATGAATAGGATAGGCGAGGTTGTCGCCGGCTTCTGCTAGGTATTCGGTGAGGTCGGAGGGGAATGTTCGAGAAATGCCCGGTTAGTAAGCTGGGCTGCTGATTGGCTCGGGCTGTGTAGGGACTCCGTGCATCACCGGAAGCTGTGGCTGCAGAGTCAGAAAAGGGGTCCCACTTTTTATCTGCTAAGAATAAACTGGGACAAGACCCTTTGTTCTACTATCAACACAATGCTCGCGTTCGGATTGCCCGAATTGCGATTAGCAGTTTGTTCACTCAACTATTCTGTGCTTTTACGAAGCTCAGTTTCCATCCGGGAGAGAATTTGCGGTTATTCATTGGGATAGTTAGTTGCACGACTACTGTCAATCGAGTTGCCAACGACGACTAATGCCTAAACGCAACACTTCCACTGCCAAGGTTGGAAGAACACATTAGATGGTCTACTTATTACCTTACTCACTCTGGAGGCTTGACACCAATTTTGCATATAAATACTAGCCGCCTGTACTATATAAACACGCCAGTCAGGACACAACTGTTGAGGCCGTAATAATGATATTGAAATTAAGGACGATAGCGTTAAGTTTAGACAAATTTTGTTATAATATGATATGTCTAGACCGGAGGCCTAGTACGTAGAGTAAGTTAGTATCTACCATGAATGTAGTGCTAATAGCTGTAATAACGATACATATAACGATGAGAATGTCACTACTGGGCTATGATTCCGACGTCGACGTCATCTTCTTCGGTTCCAAACCAGGAACATATTGCCCGGGGGAAGAGCAGACGCCGCCGTGCTCATCACGCAGCATCGGGGGATAATTAGATTGCATGGGCGTACGGACAAGGGCCGAACACCAGTAGCCGGAGGCGGGGCCTCCACGGCTAATCCAACACAACAACAACAATATCACGAGTAAGAGCGCGCAGCCACGATTCCGCAACGAGAGTGGAAAGTTATTGATAGTCAAGCTAGAGTACAAGCTGGGAGATTCCACGTCTATGTGCCGAACAAGAGCGAAGGACAGGGGAAA